ACCATACAGAAGAATTAATTTGGCTCCTAATGGAGCAAATGTATTAACAACAAAATGTAAAACAGTATTTCACAACAGGGAAACTAAGAAAACTGAACAACTATCACTCAATTATCTCACTGTCAGAGCTGCACAAACACATGTGAGGTCACCACTTAGGAAAGATGAGTTTGGGGCTCCTCTTTCCTTTCCTTTCCTTGGGTTTGGAGCAGAAGAAGATGGGCTTGGCTTTAAGGCAAGCCGAATGAGCATTAATTCTGATAACAGGATATCAGGCAGAATTGTCATGAACATGTAAGCCATTTCTGTCCACTAGTTAACTAGTGAGCCATGTTTGTATCAACAAGTTAACTAGTGAGGGTCAAAATGTGCACACTAGTTAACTAGTGACAGCAGAAATGTGCACTAGTTAACTAGTAAACACATTTAGGCTCCACTAGTCAACTAGTTGACACAAAAACATCTTACTAGTTGACTAGTAAAGGCCAAAATGCATACCAGTCAGCTAGCTGAAGGTTTTTGTGTCTCACTAATTAACTAGTGAGGGTCAAAATGTGCACACTAGTTAACTAGTGGGAGACGGAAATGAGCACTAGTTAACTAGTGAACATATTTTGGCTTCACTAGTTAACTAGATGACACAAAATGGCTTACTAATTAACTAGAAAAGGCCAAAATGCATACCAGTCAGCTAGTTGAAGGTTTTTGTGTCTCAATAGTTAACTAGTGACAGCCAAAAGTGTCCACACGTTCACTAGTGAAGGCATAACTCCTAACTAATTAACTAGTTGGAGTAGGTCAATACCACTAGTTAACTAGAGAACCTTAAATGGCTCACTAGCTAGCTAGTTGATGGCAGCAGGCTCACTAGTTACCTAGTTGATGCATCCTTTGTCCAAACTAGTTCTCAGAGTTCCTGCCTGAGAGGGTTAAAGTGTGTCGTCCTGCAGTCAGACGCTGATTTGAGAGTTATTATGATGGAAAACAGGAGTGGAGCTACGTGAGTCTAAAGGAGCTAATCAGACATGTTTCTATTTGTTTTGATCTGAATCCTTGTTAAGTTTCACAAGCTAGCAAAAAAAAATTTCTGCAGAAAACAAAAAAATTGTAAAGATCTTCCTTTCCAGCTTGAAAAATGCAAATAGTCACATTTTTAAGTGGATTTTACAACATTCAGCAAAAATCAACATAAGATTGGGATTTAAATGACAGCAATATATGAGGCTTCTTCTTTAAATCCAAGCATCTTTAACAAGTTTTGACCTCTATTTTGCCCAAAAGTGAAAAATCCCAAACAGACATAAGAGGAGATGGAGAGACGTGTGTTTTTGGGAGGAAGAGGAGAGAGCCGCTCCGTCTGAGGATTACTGTTCGGTGTTTGCATATTTAATCTTCTCCTGTCTGCCTCTGCCGCCCGCATGTCAAAGTGTTGAATAAAAACAAGACAAGAAAGGAGTAAAACCCTAGTTTCCCTGCAGACTGATCTGTGCGCCGACAGACCCTCTGAGGTCACAGAGGTCACGGCTAATCTGCTGTAGAAGGTATGGCTTCTAACTTTAGTTGTATTTAATAACAAGAATATTTTGGTCTGATTAAAGGGATCAAAGAGAATCTGGTTACCTGTCTTCCTGCAAAGGTGCTGAGAGTTTTTATTTACAGGTGATCCTTGATCTGAGTGAGTGAGTGAGTGAGTGAGTGAGTGAGTGAGTGAGTGAGTGAGTGAGTGAGTGAGTGAGTGAGTGAACCGACAGATCAGGGCTTCTTCTGCAGTGATGTGGGTGCTGATGTTGCATGTTGTGGTGAAGGAGTCGAGCCAAAAGGAGAAGAGAAGTTCTTGGTCCATTCAAACCCTCAGTTGTGGTCATGAGAACAGAATTGTGGCAGCAAGAAAATGATCAAAGTGGCTGAAATGATCCTCCACCTTAGGGTGGCCTTGTACACCCTTAAAAATAAGGTGAAGATCATCATCCAGAGGAGGCTCAGAGTGGAGCTGCTACAACTCCTCCTCCTCCTAACAAGGAGTCAACCTTGGTAGTTCAGACATCCATGGGTGTCGCACCCGTGGGGGATGTGGGGGATTCAACACCCACACTTTTCTTATTGAGATCGTTCAACACCCTCACTTTTCCAGCCGTTTTGCTCACCTCCACACCAGTCTGGTCTCTACGTCGCACTCACTCTGTTTGCCTCGGGTTTTGGTTTCAAGCAGCAGCAGGAGAGGGAGGGAGGGAAGAGCCCAACAGCTTCCATGGGCTCTTCCCTTCCTCCCTCTCCTGTTGCTCTGACACAACTGGCTTTCAACCAATCGATTTGCTTCCCACCACAAATCCCGCCTGTTTGGTTATTGTCCAACATTCATAATAACATAACACCTCAGTCTACCTATCTGCCTCACTCAAAGATGTTACACAGATTGTTCTTGAAAATAACTTGAATTGCAGATAAGTGTTGGATGTCTTGCTTTTGGATTCATCCAGTGTGACGATTACAGCTGTGGAGATGCTTTTTTAAAATAATGCAGTTTTATCTCACCTACTCAGTTACCACACTTCATATGAAACAGGTTTTCACTTCTGCGAGGTATTTGTTGAATCTTACCTCCCCAGTTGTTTTGTTTTTGAATCCAAAGAATGTACAGCTAAATTCTTCATTTTGCAAGTAATGTACTTTATAGGTCGTACCTTGAGCTGTATCTAATTTTATGGTTCAAACTGGATGCAAACTGGAGGAAATAAGACAATAAGTTTTAATTTTTTGGTGATGTGCAATGTACTCAGGTCATTCATACGTTTGTTATCATTAGCAATTCATAAACCAGACTGTATCATTTGCATGTTAGTTAACCCCTGGTTAATGATTAAGTTGTGTTTCCTAAAGTATTATTGATTTGTCTTTTAATGTCTTGTAATATTGTTTATTAGTGTCCTGATATTCACAATCACCAGCACCATTCTCTACTTTTGACTACTTTGTTTAACGATACATTCCTAATACGTTCTTATAAAACAGTAAGTAAATGTAACAAACCATTTGATGGCAAAATAAAAACAAATATCCACACTTTATATTCCTGTAACCACAAGGTCTTTTTCATTACTTTTGGTCTCATTATAAAGGGAATTATTGTGGGGTTTGTTCAGATGTGTGAATATTAGAATATGTGTTGCTGATGAAGTGTAAATGTAAATGGAACCAGAACTTCCCAGTAAAATTCTGAAGATGCAGGGAAGACCTCCACATTCCTCAAAATTTGTTTTCACCGAGAAAGCAACAGTTGTTTCATACTGCCCAAAGAAAAACTAAAAGGTTCTTGTCATGAGCACAATGCACACAGATGCATCTCTGAGCACAAGAGAAGACAAAAAAACCACAAATGATCCTGGACTACAACTCCACCAAAGGAGGAGTAGACAATCTTGACAAAGTCACAGCAACATACAGCTGCCAGCGCAAAACAGCTCGTTGGCCCTTGGTGATTTTCTACAACACTGTGGATGTGTCAGCTTATAATGCCTTTGTCCTGTGGACTGAAATCAACCAACATTGGAATGTCGGCAAACTGTACCGACTTCGGCTTTTCCTGGAAGATCTGGGCAAAAGTCTTGTCACCCCCGAGATCCAGAGGCGAGCCAGACCAGCTCGATCCCCAGCAGCAGCAGCTATCATTGAAGGTCAGGTCTGCATCATCTGACCAATCTACAATGGATCCAGTGGATACAGGTGCAAAGAAACGAAAAAGATGCCAGGTGTGTCCCTCACGAGAAGACATTAAAACAAGCACCGTTTGTGAGAAGTGCAAGAAGTACATTTGCAGAAAGCACACAGTTACACTCTGTCCATCATATGGACAACACTGAAAATGTTGAACATTGACAATCTGAGAAAAAGAAAAGTGTTTGTAAAGAAGGAAAACTTTTACTAACTAGTTCTTATAAATAGTTCTGGATATTCAAACTTTATTGTATGTCTGTGTTTTAAATGTTTTTTTTTCTAATGGAAAATAAAGTTCCTGTTGTTTTATTGCAGTTTTTTTTACAGTTCTAAGTGAATTTAGACAGGGTGGGTCAAAATGACCCGCAACATAGCCAATGTGATTTTTTTTTCAAAAAATTTCAAGGGTTAAAAAATAGGCTTCCAGATTGTGTTTATTTATTTGTTCTGCTGTCAGCTGTGTTTTCTTTATGTTAATTTGTTTTATTTGTCGGGGCTAGACCCAGACAAAGACTGACTTATTTTATCAGCATGGTGGGTTTATGAAGATCCAGTCCCATGAATTCAAATCTAAAATGCATTTCTGTGAAAAGTGTCCACTTTTTTCTTTTGATAGAAAATTATTATTGAGGGGAACAAATGTTTTGTGTCAGACTCCAGATAACAATCTGGTTTAGAGTAAATAGTGCTAACTGAAACTGACCCTGATTTAAACAGAAACAGCTGCACTGAGGTGATCCCGGTTAATTTAATATTTTAATATTACATTCTCTGGTTTTAGGTTTTTACCTTTTTAAAAGAAAAATATTCAACAGTGAGATTTAGTTTTCTGACATTTGTAGGTAATTTCTGGTGAGAAGGAATGATGAATAAAATCAAAGGAAACAAATGACTGACAGCCAAGATCAAGCCTCATGTCTCCTGCAGTCTCTAATAATTCACTAAAACATAAATGTCAGACAAGGACCTAATCAGTGCCATAAATAGGCTCGATTTGAAAACACGGAGGGACGACTGATTCCCTGTGGAATGAAAATAGATGCGGGATATATAGTTGTCCTTTAAAACGTGCGTGACCCAGAACGCGCACAAGCATGCGGACTTAAACTCCGAGGCATCTGTCGCTACCGGGATGTAAATCTACCTCTGAGCTCCGTGACCCACATGGAGGACAAAAACAAGCCCGGGGACGTATCCCGAGGAGTCTGGACCCCCTGTTCTAGAGACATACCCGGAGCGGAGGTGGTGAGGGGAAGGAGGAGGAGGTGGAGGAGGAGGAATAAACTCACCAGTAAAGCAGAGACAACCCATCGAAGCGCTCCGCGTCCTGAGGGAGGAATGGCATCGCACCCCGGTGTCTGTTAGCGCAGGAAAAATGCCAACACACACATAAAACAGGGACTCTCTCACACACACACGCGCTCGCGAGAGGCTGTCGCAGAAGGTTGAGAGAAGGGATGAGAGGAGACAGCGGTGGAGGTTCAAATCGGGTCGGTGCGCCGAGCAGAGCGGAGAGGGATGGAAATCCGCCCCGACAGGGAGACGCGCGCTTACCTTTACCCGCTAATCCATCCTGATACCCGTCCGTCACACACACACGCGCGCGCACGCACGCACACACACACACACACACACACACACACACACACACACACACACACACACACTGCAGAGGATGAATTTTGAAGAAAAGCTTCGTTTTTCTTTCAGCTGAGACACGGCGCAGCTTAAAGTGTTTAAAAAGCCAAGTCAGTTTTTATTTGTCTGACACAAAACCAGGCTGAGAGTCGTGCTGGTGGAGGTTCATGAGATTAAAACTAGCGCTGGGACTTGATTAAAAATTTTAATCTAATTCATTAGAGGCTTTGTAAGTAATTAATCTAAATTAATCGCATTTTAATCGTTCAGGAAAATGTGCTCTCAAAGCAAAACTTTTAATGAAAATTATGAGACAGAGAATCAAACATTAGACAAGGTTATTACTGTAAACTAAAGCTTTTAATAAAAAATAATGCATTTTAATTATTCAAATGTCACTGTGTGATATGAAACAAGACCCAAATCAACTAAAATTTATAATTACAAATAGAAAACACCTGCAAAGGGTTCCTGAGCCTTTAAATAGTCTCTCTGTCTAGTTGAATTACTGAAATAAATTTGACTTTGCACCAGATTCCAATTTTTCCAGTTTCACTTGTTTGTTTAATTGGGAGTTTTTATTAGCATTTCTACTCATAATGCAGTAAAAAAAAACACATATAAATAATAATCCTTCAAAATTACAGTAGAGCAGGCACAAATATGATCTAGGACTTAAATGTACTAACTTTTAACACCAGAGCAGGCGTGACATATTCTGAGAATGATCATGAACACTAACTGGTTCCAGTTATGACTGGAGGATGATGGGAAGATAAAAGTTCATGGCGAGGAAATAATGATCTGACTAACAGGTGAGCAGACCTTCCTTATATGGGAAGTCCTGCTGTCACGTTAAGAAGGGGATGCTGCAGATTCACGCCTGCAGCAGCGAATCTGGTGTGATCTCCAGCCTGATCACAACTTTCTCGTTCCTCGCTGCCCCTGATACACTTATCTGCCCCTAAGCGGATGACAGCTTCAACACACCTGCTGCTTAATGATAGTAATGCATTTGATATTTAGACAGTGACTCGTCTCAGAAACATATAATTCCCCGGCAGAATTGTTCAGAAAATCATCAGAAAAGTTTCAGAGTGTTTCTGATTTCTGGTGCGACGAGCTACTTAATAGTCCTGAAAATACGGTACGTGAAAAATAGTGAAAACTTGCTCAAAGAAAAATATATTTTCATTAAGGAAATAACTTATAAACTTACCGATTTGATATATTTTTATTCACAGAAAGGTACTTCTCATGAAAAAGTGCCGCAAACCTCCACCTGAACTCCATGCGTTCGATGGGTGTTCCACAGAGTTAGCTCTGGTTGTAGCTAGGTGGCTACATCCGTTTGCTCGGCTCCCACCTCCGCGTTAGCTTTGGGTTAGCTTCAGGTTAGCTTGTAGCTAGTTCGACCGGGTGTCGTCAGTTGATCCCAGCCTTACAGCCCCACCCTCAGCTCCTCCTCTCTTCCCTTTTATGGAATTGTCTGGGCTTGACGGAACCTGTGACACGGTCAAAATGGCGGTGGTGGCCACCTCCCATTTTAGCACAAAAACTTGTTATTGGAGCCTATGGAAACCCATTGTCCATATATTAATGTCAATGGGGAGAACGCACCCACTAAGGTGTGGCACAGACCCATTGCTCGGGATGTGCGATCTTTAACACTTGTCATTGCGTTTGTCACTGCCAGGTGTAAATTATGTCCGAAGCAGTTCAGCCAAGTCCAGCTCAACTGTTTCACTGCTGCGGCGATGTTTGCCCCATTATCAGTCGTTATGCACGCCAGCTTCTTCTCATGCAGGGACCACTCATTAAACACGCTGGGTAGAGCATCTGCAATGTTGTCAGATGTGTGATTCTGGAGCATTAACACTTTTTCGAGGCAGCGCAATTTAAGAGTCCAGTCTGTGGTCATGTAATGTACAGTTAGACTCATGTAAGGGGTCATATTCACACTTGACCACATGTCAGTGGTGGCAGAGAAAAAGTCCACACTTTTGAGCTCACTCTGAACCGATGCTCTAACTGTGTTGTACATTTTCGGCACCGCAGTTTCGGAGAAGTAGGTTTTCCCTGGCAACTCGTATTGCTTGTCAAATTTCTGAAGAAGTGACTTGAATGCAGGTTTCTCCACAGTAGAAAATGGCACCATCTCCTCCACCAGATACCGGTAACACCGCCTGTCAGGTGTTTATGTCTGTCACTGTCTCTGCTGTACTTGCCGACTCGAGAAAAGGCTTCGCCGAGTCCAAGCTGTCGGCGGGCACCGGCATGAGCTGCCCCGCAGATCTGTGTGGCAGGAGGTGACGGCAGCCGCGCCTTGATAGCTGGATTGTAGGTCGCAAGGTGAGCCCTTAAATTAGTTGTGTTTCCTTGTTTTACTTGAACCGTTTGGCCGCAGATTTTACAGACTGCCTCATTTAAATTCTCTGGCTCGCCCTTTTCATTTGACTGAAAGCCGAAATGTTCCCAAAGGGGTGAAGTAACATTTCATTTTGATGCCAGTGCAGCCATCCTTCTCAGCGTGCGCTGTCGCGAGATTTAATCAAGTGCGGTAATGGTGGTGGCATGTCATGCAGCGCGGTGGGTTTCTTAATAACGCGATATTTTCTTCTTGTGGTTATCGCGACAGCCCTATTGAATACCTGTGCGCTGCCGGGCGGGGAAGCTTCCTTGCGGCCTAGGATGATACTAGTTGGCGGACTGATTGTGCTCTGTGGTCTGGCGGTTGGCGCCGCTGTTTCGCTTTAGTGATTTGTTTCGTTCAGTTTTCCGGTTTCTCCCCCCTCCTGTGGGTTCCGGATGGACCTCTGCACAGTGTCGGAGGCTTTCCCACTCTCAGCGTGGGAGTCCAGAGGGGAAAACAACTGTGTTTTATTTAAGTAGTTTTAAATGATTGTTTGTAACACCCCCCCCCCCCCCCCCCCCCCTTCTTTTGTGCAGGCTGGGATGGGAGGTGGTGACCTCGGTGGTGGCGGTCCCATTTTGTGCGTGTGCTGGTGCTGGGTTCCCTCACGTTGGAGTGAATGTTCACTGTTGCCTGGGGTGATTTTATTATACTTTAATGTGATTGTTTCTTTTTGTGATTTATCACCCCGTGTGTCTACTCCCTCCTTCAGTTGGTCTCAGTCCTGCAATTTATTTCCTGTTTGTCTTGTTGCCCTGTTTTTAATCAGAACATTTTTAAACATCTATATATCTATATGTTATTTGTAAATAAATCAATTGTAACTTTTGGAACCATGTCTCATGCCTCATTTGGTGGACTAAACTTATGTGCCTTCTGATACCTACTTCCTTGGGTGAAAGTCCCAAGGTGGCGTTGTTGACACTGTTCGCTGCTCCCTGAACCAAGGAAAAGGTTACAGCGTGTTGGAGCACGCCATATTTATAGCACCCTCGTGTATTGCCACACATGGAAAGTTTCTACAAAGGGTTTCCTTTGCAACCCTATTGACAGGTAACCATTGTGTGAGCTTGGGATTACAATTATACAAAGTTTATTGTCTACCAGTTGTGCCAATGTTCGAAGGCCCTAATTCAGTGACAGGAAAGAGTAAAAAGTGTAATAGCTGAAAAGATGAATTCACCTTCCTTGATGCCCTTCGTTAACTACCGACCTTGGATAGGTTTGGGGTATTTCAGCAGATCTCTCTCCTCCACCAAGGTCAGATCTTCAATAGACTCGACTCCAAGCTCATCCAGCATGGCAGTAAGAAGGTCATCAGGGAGACCAGGCAAGTATGACCACACTGCGTCCTTGACGTAGTCTCATTAAATGGTGACTCGTGAAACACTGTAATTTCTCATTTTTGCTATCCCTATACTGTATGCATATTTCCTACAATCCTCTGTTCAGTCCACAAAGCAAATTCATGACAAAACCAACTTTATTCAAGGCTACCAAAAATAAAAATAAATAAATAAAAGGTTGTTTGTTATATAGACTACAAAGCCTGCTCTAGTACTCACGTCTCTCCTCACATATCCTGTATCCCCACTTTCTTCCCTGCTCATACTGCCTATGGAAAAAAATGGTGGAGCGCAATAAGGGACTGATCATACACTTTGTATGCTGAAAGAGGATAGAAGTCCAGTAGATCTTCCTGCTTAATGCACACATAATATTCTAGGGCCACTCCTAGGTCACAGTACACACCTGTGTCACATAACTTTACAAAAGTATGTTTCTCTGTGACAAAATAGACCAAATCATGAACAACAATAATTTGTATATCTTACCCATAAGAAGCCCTTCATCTCTGTTCTGTAGTAAAATGATATTATAATCCTGTGATAGTATATAATAAGTAATCTAACTTTAAACTAGACACTAGACTGATCACACGTAATGTTAAAGTCACATGACACATTCCTTTTTCTGATCCAATCAGAACCTTCCAGATCTGACGCGAGGCGTGTTTTTGTTGGTGTTTGTTAAATCCCCTTTTGTGTCAAATTCTGATTCGAAAGTAAATCAAAACATCCAAATCATAAAACTATGCCCCACGTCATCCTAACTTGAGTTCCAAGCGTTCTGGAGAAGTTATTGGAGTGGCCATTCCGTAACTTTCCTCTTAAAGCCGAAAGAACCCAGCAACAAGCTGGATTAAATCTGTTGCATGTTCCTGCTGCAACAGTTCCTTCAGAACAAAAGCTGAACCATCACGACTCTTCAGGGTCTCGCTAGATGCCAATAAAACTGTTGTGACCTGAGAGTATCTCAAGACGGGGCTGGTCGGCACACCCATTAGGACGGTGGGAGGGTTAAATAGGACTCTACAAAAATGATTTTGTTCCATTTAAGATGCAGAATAATTCATGCGAACAAACAACAAAGGGATTAAAACTTCTGTCAAGTCCAAAAGCCTGGATATTTAATCACAAACAGCAGATGAGTCACACAAAGTTCCATGGCCAAAGCACAAAACTAATTGTTAAAAAATTCTAACAGGCTATTTTAAAGTCCCAAAATACAGAATCATTAAATCCAAGAGAAACAACAGAAATATTGTGTTTTCAACACTTCCTCATTCTGTTGCACACTTCACCCCCAAACTTAATGAATTTCATAACACAAGTTCCAACAGGATGACCCGCATGACCTCACTGATGACCTAGCACACTTCAAAAAGTAAAAAGCTGATTTATTACATTTAAATTGCAAAGTTATTCATGCTAAACAAATAAAAACTGGAATAAACCATACCTGAATAATAAAATAAAGAAAAAATGTGTAACTTCCGTTAAAGTCCAAAAAGTAGATTTTTTTTTCATTCCTAGCAGCAGAAGAATAAGGTGCTGTGTTTTTAAATCTCATTTTATTTTTCCTTTCATATTCTATGGAGCACTGTGAGCAAACTATTTCTCCATTGAGTTCAATAAATGTGTCGGAATCTTGCTTTTTAAATGGAATTTTGAATGTTAGAGTAAAAAATAAGAAAAGGTTACCTATAACATTGGACTTCACCAAGAAAGCTCTGCTACAATAAACAACTATCAGATCTTTTTATGTGTGTTAAATGTAATGATTTCATTATTAAGAGTTTGTTTCTTTTACATTTGAAATTGCAAAGCAGGCGTTTGTCCTTTTTTATTCTGTTGTATTTTTTGTAACATTTGAATAAAATCTGAGCCCCTTCAGACGTTTTTCCCTCTGCTCTGACATTTTGTTTGACATTTGGTAAAAATATTTACGCTCATCACTTTTTCTTTAGCTCAGTGTTCTACGACTGTTGCAGCAACATAGGGCCATCCTCCTGAAATACACTATAAATACACCGAACAGGGCTGTTCGTCACACATTTACGTCCAGTTTTCTGTAAATGAAACACTTCCTCTGACTGGTGAGTGGTGGATTAAATTAATCTCATAATCTCTGTCATTAAACGCTCAGATTCACACCTGTATGTAATAAAAACTGTTATTTGTTCAGGAAAATGTTAAGAAGTTTAACATTTTAATGAATTTTAGATTATAAGAGAACATTCTGTATCTATGAAATTATTAAACAAAACAATGTCTATTATTATTAATAATTGTATGCTTGTCTGAGTTTTTTAGGTTAAGGTAGAAAAGGTTCTGAAAATCAGATAAAAGACGCACATATGGTTGTTATTAAAACGTGTAACACACAGTTCTTCGTGTTAAAGTCAGTAGCTTCTTTGTGTGATTTTACAGATGTGTTGCATCAGAAGAAAAGAGGGAAGAACGTGAAGAGGAAGCTGCAAATTCCTGACTTTCTAAACATTTTTGTTGTAACAGGACCCCTCCCTACAAACTAAACCCACAGCTATTTTTATTGTAGCTCATACAATAATCATCTCTCTGCTTTGTTCTAATTTTATAAAAACAAAATGTTTCCAGAAGCAAATGTTACCACAAACCTCACAACCCCAGCGCCAGGGGGCGGATGCCCCCCGGTGGGCATCCAGCTGGAGGGTGTGATCATGCCCCCAGTTCTCATCATTGATGTTATACTGGGGCTGCTGGGAAACATGTTCGCCCTGTGGATCTTTTGCTTTAAGCTGAAGGCCTGGAACCCCAACACCCTTTTTCTCTTTAACCTGGTCATCGCTGACTTCCTGGCTCTTGTGAGTCTGCCCCTGAGGATTGATGCCTTGCTCAGGGGTCACTGGATCTTTGGAGATGGCATGTGCAGAATCAACCTGTTCCTGATGTTTTCCAACCGTTCGGCCAGCATTGCACTCATGACCGTGGTGGCGATTTACCGCTACTTTAAGGTGAGGAAAGAACAAAGGGTTGTTCACACATTTAAGATCCAGTTAATTATTGATTTTTATTATCTTTGTAGGTCAGAAAAAGCTTGTTTTGGTGAATTAATGAACAAAAGTGATGATAATCTAGTTTAAAAAGAGAACAGGACAACTAGAAGGTGAATTTATTATCCCCGTTGTGTTGCAGGTGGTCCACCCTCATCATTGCATTAACCGTCTGACAAAGCGCCAGGCTGCAGGGGTGTCCGTGGTGGTGTGGCTGTTGGTGGTCAGCCCCCGGATCCCCATGCTGGCCTACAACCACATCAAAGGCAGTGGTGACAGGACCCAGTGCTTCTTCTTTACTTCATACAAAGAAGCTTCACGTGCCATCATCATCCTGGTGGGCATGCACCGCATCCTGACAGTGCTGGAGTTCATCCTGCCCATGGCCATGCTGCTTTTCTGCTCCATCCGTATCTCCACCTTTCTGAGAAAGAGGCAAATGGGAAAACCCGAAAAGGTGCGCAAGGCCATGAGGATGTGTGCTGCCATCGTTACTGTGTTCATCGTGTGCTTCCTGCCTACCACAGTGACCACCATTGGTGTGTGGGTCATCCGCTCATACCGTCCGTGGGACTGCGCCGCCTTCTATACCTTCACCCAGCTCACCATCGTGTCTTTGGGTCTGAACTTCCTGAACTCAGCTTTGGACCCTGTCGTCTATGTCTTCTCCAGCACCATGTTCAGGAAGGCCTTGTTGGATGCGATGCCTCAGGTCCTGCTTTGTAAACGAAATAAAGACAGGAAGGAAGCTTCTTCATCAGAAAGTCAATCCACCACACAGCAGGAACTGAAATCCATCCCAGTCAACGGAGGTAGCGAGGCCATCTAGTAAACCAGCACCTTAAGAATCAGGAGACCAGATGGTTAAACAAATTTTAAGGGCGATAAGGAAAGGGCGATAAAAAAGAGCAAAGTGGCTCCCACTTCTTTCCAGCTGTCTAACAATCAAATTTAGTGAGAACTGTGTCTTCTACTCCTCCTTTGGACATGTTAGCAAGCTGCATTTGATCACGCTCCGTCAATGTGTTCTCTAAAATTTCTAAGTTCTCTTTTTCAAAGCTTTTCATAATAAAACAGGTTAAAGCCACTGGTCTGAAATATGCTCATGGGCCAATTTTACAAACTGGAACAACCACAGCATTTTTCCAAGTTTAAACTTGTGCATTTATGTGCTAAAATAAAATCTATTAAAACAGTTATTAAACAACTAGGAGGACCCGCAAAATGATTGTCTGTGCTAAATCAGTTTCAAGTTAAAGCTGTGTTGGTTTTGGATGACAGCAATAGCTTTCATGCTGCATCAGGCTAAGTTCAAACTTGTCATGATCCACGAGCCAAGGTGAGCGCTCCTCCTCAATAAACCATCTTTGAGGTTCTCTTTCCACAGGTGAGGAGCGGAGGGGACACCAGCTGTGCTGCATTTGTAATCAGAGGCTCTGGTGTAAAAGGAGGATGGAGACACCACTCGACGCCGGATGATTGCTACAGTTTTGTTTAGCGCCAGCCACTCGTACTTGCTTGTTCGCTTATTTGACTTCTCGCGTTTGGATTATTGGATTTTTGACCTTGGACTGTTTTCTTGGATTACGACTTTGGATTCCCCTCTGAACCCCTCTCTGCTTGCCCTGCTTAGGATTACCATCATCTCCTTCACCTACTCCGCTGAGAACCCGGATATTCAGGACCATGTCCCATTCTCCTCCACGGCTCCTGCTTCCTGCTCCTCTCCTCTCCGCTTCCTCACCAACCCCGCTCTGCTGGACCCCCGCCCTCGCTCACCTCGGCTCATCACCTGCTCCACTGCTCGCTGAGCTCGAACTCTGGACTAACGCCTTACGGCACCCTACTCACTGGACTTCCAGTGCACCTTTAGTTCCCATTCTCCAAATAAAGACTCTATTTTTACTTACCTTCTGAGTCCCGTGTTGATTCTGCATGTCTTGGGTTAGACACCTCCCGCAAGCCATGACACACTAGTGCGTGCCGTTTTATTCAAACATTCCCCAGCAGTCTGTGCAGTTCCTGAGAGCACTGCATCATTTGTTTGAACTTTAATATTCCTGTTTAGACTTTCCCTTCCTATCTGTTTTACATGTTGGAAAAACAAGGAATACCCCTAATGCAAGATTGCAGAAGAGTTTAAACATTTGAAACACGAGGTTGCATCATCTTACATGACAGGGTTTTTTTTTTTATTTCATCAAAATGTTTTGCAATTTCTTTCTTTAAAAAGTGATTCCCTTCAATCACAAGTTAGTGGTGAAAGAAATGCATTTCTTCAACAAATCAAAGAGTTTATGAAAATGCTGTTTTCAAGTTCATGATTACTTATTGTAGAGAAGAGGTTCTTTACATTTAATTAGAAACCATAAAATGTGAAATATCACCTTAATGGATCTTTAATGCACTAATGGATCTTTAAGCATAATGACACAGCACAAACAACAGCTATTCTCTTGATGAATCACCTCTTCGCCCGGTTCGGTCTTCCCACTCGGGTTGACTCGGATAGGGGAACTCACTTCACGTCTGAAGTGATGGAACATCTTAGGAAACTGTTGGGTGTGAAGGCCAATTTCCACATTAGCCATCGCCCCCAGTCTTCTGGCCAGGTCGAAAGGATGAACCGGACGGTTATCAGCACGCTGAGGATGTATGTGTCCTCTAATCACCAAGACTGGGATGTGAGGCTTCTGTTGGTCCTCATGGCCATACGGGCCACCCCTCATAAGTCTACAGGTGTCTCCCCGTTTGAAATGATGATGGGTAGACAGATGACCCTGCCACTTCACCTGCTGTACCAGCCAGTTCAGTCCGAGGCCGGCCCGGCTTACACAAGCGAACAATATTTGCAGGATCTGAAGAACCATCTGCCTGCAGCGTTTTCGTTTGCACAGACAAATCTGGAGAAATTAGCTGAGGGCAGGAAGGCTTATTATGATCAGAAGGCCTCACATTCTCATAGGTGATGAGGCCTGGTTCCACATCTTCGCTCCTAAAAGCGGTAACACAAAGAACACCTCTGGTAAGCTGGCTAAGAAACTTTTGCCAGAGTGGTCAGGCCCATACCTGATATCTGCTAAACTCTCTCCGGTCGTGTATCAGATTAAGATTACCCAAACAAACAAGGAGCCCGTCTATAAGTGGGTCCACAGGGACCAAATCAAACCACACAAGGGTTCCACTAATTTGGACAATGCGACCACCAACAACTTACCGACTTCCAAAGGGCGGTGATTTGGCGCCTCGTTGGTTCCATTGTTCTCTATCTCGAGTTACACAAGTTGTCTGTTTGTGTGTGTGCATGATTGTCTTTCCTGTTTATACATGACGTGCAGACTTGGGTGGTTTGAGATGAACATGCTGCGGGTTCCTGAAGTCAGGTAATCAGCAAGTTAACAGTAAAATGGTTTATTCCACATATTGCTGTTATCCAAATTTGTTTTAATTTTTTCACTAATCGTAATTCCTTATGGGTACATTCACATGTAGGTTGATTACTAACTTTACTGATTTACATTTTTAGTGCTCTTTGACACTCATATCTACTTTTCTATTGTTATTTACAGTTGATGAAGTGATAACTATATGATTAAATTTGTTAATTTACCATTATGGGCTAAAACCATTTTTGCCGTTCATTTTGATAAAATTTTGCTTAGTGAAGTGATTCTATTTTTTCCCTTATATAGGGTTTTGTTACTTTATTCTTTTTACAACACTTTTTCCGGTACACGTAGTGCATTGCATCCATTTCTTCACTTGGTCTCTATTCACATAATTGCTGCACATAGTACATGCAGGTACACATACTGACAGGTTTCTTTTTCTTTATTGATTTACATTAGACACCATTTTGTTGTGTCTACATTGAAGTGCCCTGTGTTGTGCTCTCTCTCCTCTTCTGAGTTTCGCTGATGATCCTCGATTGCTGGGGTTGGACCTATGATTCGTCATTGGATTCTACTCCGCCTGACTGGTGTTCCGGCTTGTGGGACCTGCACGTCCGTGATTCAGGCTATTGCTGCTGGGATACTTGAGACCAATAAGCTGTGATACTCTATCTAAATATAGAATATTACCTTGCCTGGTCTTTGTTTAGTCAGAAGATTCTAGGATTCTTCATTCATTAGGGAATTGTACACACTTCGTTTTGATTCAAGAAACAGTCAGGTTTATAAGAGTAAGAATTTATTTTTACAAACAATTAAAACTTGGCAAATTGGTTAAACTATTATTTACTGTGAGTGAATGGAACTAAAAGGTGATGTCTGGATCCTATGTGTGAATATAATATAGTCAGAATCTCCGTATCTCAGAGAGCTGAATTCTGGATGAAAAAGAATTTGGTTTGAGTTAAGCTTTAAATAGACTTTTATCAAACCACATTCAGACGCAATCTCACTGTGTCCTACGTACCCAAGCGGAGACGCCCTTTGGATCCGAGATGTCAGGAGGGGGTCGGAGACCCCGGTACCGGAGTCCATAGACTAACTCCTCGTACGACCAGCTCAGTCCAGGGTCATCTTCCAGGTAACGACAGTTGGAACTAGTTTGCGTCTCAAGAATAACTCTTAAGGAGATGGAACAATATCAGCTTGTTCTGAAGGAAACTACCTTGTTGTATCAGCTTTGCAGGTGCGAAAAAGGTTTAAAAAGGTTTTGACGACGTGTCAAAATCCTTGATGGTTAAAGAGGTTTTGCTCAGATGGCCGGTCTGAAGCTTGCTTTCGAACTGCAGAAAACCCAGAGTGGTCTAGTTTTAATGAAACGATATTATGATTGAATAGCCAATCAAAAGTTGACAAGTTTGAGGAATATTACCAAGAATTTCAGAGACACACCCTCTTTGATCCAGAGCAAACTGGGCAAAAGGTTAACTATGTGTCATGCGTTCACTTAACTTCACTTTGTTATCGTGTGAGTGCAGATGGTGATGACCTCGTCAAGTAAACATGCTAAACATATATTATTAAGCACAGATGAATGAAACATTTCATTGTTTTATAATTATTATGAGTAGCAATGAACAAACATTTATTTAATGATTATCTTTAATTTTTAAATCTTCTTTCTTCTGTGAATCGAGGAGTTCACTTAATGAGTTCCTCTGTAAAGGGACCTTGGTAGGAGAGAATGTTATTGTTTGATTTTATTATCTCTTTCAGGGCGCCAGGCTTTCAGCCTCCTGTGAGGGAAAATATTGTAGGTTGGAGTCGTAGCCAGGGCAAAATGACCTGGCTGTGGACTTGACCTGTGGGTCTCAAAATCAGGCCATTTTGTGACGTTTCATATGGGAGTTACTGAGTTTGTGTTGCAGGGCGTATTTTCATGCTGATGGCCTTCAGGGAGTAGTCCCGACCCTTCCAGCTGGTCCACTCCACTCCGACAGCGTAGAGCGAGCCATCGGACCCCCAGCGGTAAAGTCCGTTAGGGTTTGCTGAATGGCAGTTAGAGTACCAGAACGCCCCAATGAAGGACTGAGCACAGTTCTTCTCCCAGGTGTCATTGTCTTTGTCGAATGTAGAGAATTTTTGTCCACTGATGTGAATTATGGAATCTCCTGCAGAAAAACATGATTAAAATCACCATCAAACTAACTTCTACTCATCCATTATCCAAGGTCAGGTCATTGATGTAACAGTTCCACGAGGGAAGTATTTATCTCCCTTCAGCTCCTCCTGAGGTATATCAGAACATTACCAGGAAAGATATACAGTATGAAATAACCCCCACAGCTGTGTCTGCCCCGGAGTAACCTGGAGGCTTCCTAATCAGATGCCTGAACCATCTCAACTGATTCCATCCAAAATAAATCATCTAAGAAAGAAAAAGGCTGAGCTTGCCACCCTGCCGAGGAAGCTTAATTCCATGGTTTGTATCCTATTTCTAAAACTGCATTTTTGACACACTTGTGCATCTCTGGTTGCTGTTTTACTACAAACTCCACTGATTTATTTACAGTGGTATTCCAGCACACTTCCAAGTATAAAAATCTGATTATTGAAACAGTCATGACAACATTTCAAAGAGTTTAAACTACTCTAATCTTTTAGATTATATTGTGTTTCATTTGTTTGTATTTATGAATGCACCAAAAAAAATAGCATCCGTACCCTGTAGTTACCTCTAACCCACTTCAGATGTTTTTTATTGGCAGTAGGGTTCATTAGAGTTATTTATACAGACTCTACTCTGGATTTCTGCACTTGATTTAAAAAACCTTATCAGAACAAAGCAGATCATTTTACCCACCCGCCCCTCCGTTAATGAACCCAGTGAGTTGTAGTCTGTAGCCGTCTGACTCTGGTCCGATAGAGAATGAGGAGTAACGAGCGTAAGCCTTGCTTCCTTCAAAGTCCTCCATGTCGATCAGCAGCTCGTACTTTTTCCTCTGACTAAGGTGGAACAGACTCTCCAGACCTGAAAACAGAGAAACATACTCCGATAAGATCAGAGGTTTCAGCCCCACCACCTGGGGTCATATCACTTTAACAGAGTTTCATGCCAGTTTGGGTTCAGGCCTCACCGAGCCAGTACTCTCCAGCAGCGTTCCCAAAGCCAACCTTGTACTGATCCCAGGGCCTGTAGAAGCTCACTGAGCCATCCATCCTCCTCTGGAACACCTGGAGGTGGAGACCAAATGGTTTTGTCCAAACTGCTGAGGTGCTACTGTTTGTCTGCAGTCATCCTTCACACGTTTGGATTGAGAAGGCAGAATGCCAACTAGAGCATTTAATAATGTTTGCTGGTTTTAACATCGTGCGGTTGCAGTCCTTCTTATAGTTTGTTGTGAGTATTTGCTGATATTACCAGCCAGTTTAACTGCTACAGACTCAATAAGAAGTAAAGGAACTTTGTAAATCAAAAAGACAAAATGAAATGTGAATTTGTGCTGTTGACCAGGAAAAAAACCCTGGATTCCCTTTAAATGGAAACAGTGCAGTTTTGACTTGCTTTTAGCGCCCCCTAGAGTCTGTTATTAATTCACTATTGTAAAACCATAAGTGAAACGGACCTCCTCACTGTGCATTTGTCTTTTTAACAACTTGACCTAACAGCTGAAATGTCTCCTCAGCCTTCATTAGTTTCTACAGGAGTGATTCATCACTAAATCAAACAAATCAGCTGTGTTCGTGATCTAAAACATGCAGGAAATGGTCTGGAAGCAGCCCACGGCACCAGCACGTCAGCTCCACTTTACTAAGACTAACAGGGAGCGGCTGCTACTCTGAAGTTGCAAATGCCGTATTCTGGCCACAGGGGGCGGTGGGGGCTTGAGTGACATTTCATTAACCCTGTAAACGGTTGTTTTAGCACATTCTGGCTCAAGAAAATGATTTTAAAATATGAAAAAAGTTGCATCTTTAACATCTAATGTGATGATTTTATTTAATTTGGTAAATAAATCAAATCAAATCAAACATCTAACCTGATGATGTAGCGACACAAATCACGCTTTGCAAGTATAAACAAATACTTACCGTCCACTGTCCTTCGAGTGAGGTCATGTCACAGTACACCTGCAGAGGAAATGTTGGGGAAATGTTACACCTCTATTGGATCCTGAGTCTAGACTGGTAGTGTCGGGCCCCAACTGGCCCCCATCAAGCATTAATCACTTTCATTATGTCCTCTGATTCAAACCAGCATCCTTTCATAGCTTTAGAGAAGAACCACACCAACTTAATGCTTTGTTCTGACTATTTGTGTGGTTTCTTCTTCATCCCAGAACATCCTTGAAGTGAGTAGTTCTTCTAATAAATCTCTATTCCAATGAGTTCACCTGTACAGCAGACGTGGCTCCAATTGGATATATGGTGTAAACCCCACTGGGTCGGCTGGTATCTTGATTGTAGATGTCAGTGCAGTCCAGAGGGAGGCTGAGGTCCGAACAGCTGGTCACCAGCGGAACCAGGAGGAGTGACAGTAGCTGCAGGGGTCAAGTCTTTGTATTATTTTATTTCAGGCACACAAAGTTGCAACATTTCCAATTGTGGATGATTCAAATACAACAACAGACCAAAGTAAAGCCTCTAACATTATGTGTGTTTCACTGAATACTGTTGGAAGAATACCAAAGTTCTGGTCTGAAGTGCAGCAACAGATTTCATCAGTTTGTTCTCCATTCCTAGTTTCAACATATTTGCAGGTTTATATAAGAAAGTCAGTGAGGGAACCTCAAAATGGAAATTATCAGTTACCTGGAAGACATTTGAGCCACCAGACAATGTTTCTGTTATGATGCAAAACCTGTGAAGAATATTGGGTCACATGTTTAACTCACCTTCATCATCAGAGTCCCTCTCAGCTCAGACCTCATGTTTCTCTGCTGTAGTTGTTGAAAGTCCTGCTGAATGCTGATGAGAGGCGGATGTCTGCCAGCTGCTTTTATGTCTCAGAGATAGTTACTGAATTTTGAAGGTTCATGACACATTAAAGACAAACCACTATTTGGAAATGCGGGGACCCTTGTGAAATCATGGCCTTAGCTGTTATGAAATACTGTAAAAGCTCTGATTGTGCAATAAGAGATAACTCTGAAAGAACAAAACATGGCTTGTCACTTTTCTCCGAGGTTATTTGAGGCAGCTGAGGTCTGTAGAAAAAAACCACAGGAGAGCTGAACACGTGGTGCTGGTCTGTTCTGTCTGTAGAACGTGCGGTTCTCACAGAACAGGATGTTTTCACACAGTTGCAGGTAAGACTGTACATACCGTATATTAAAATAATTCGGTAACACTTCATAATAAGGGCCCCTTACTTACTTAGTGCATTTTAAAGCATTAATAAGCTATTAAATAAAGTATCAACAGTTGTTCATCCGTATTATGTAATGCATTACTAAGCAGATGCCACCCTGGCCCTGTGTTCTAATCTTAAAGAGACACTTAATAGTAAACAATATTGACAAAGATTAATAATGGGACCCTTAGGTTATTCATGCTTAATAATGCACTAATGTTAATAAAGGGGCCCCTATTGTAAAGTGTTACTAAGAAATCTTATGGCTGTGCTTGGGGAGGGGGGCGGACTCTGGATGACTGTAGTTTATCTAACGATGGGCAGATTTTTTTTCAGTAATTTTAGAAATTTTGACTGATACATGACCAGAGAAACTACTGGTACAAACCGTAAGCCCCAGAATGCTGAGAGGTAAAACTGAAAAGTTCCAGTACTGTGGACCTGGGGCCTCATTTATCAAGCTTGCTTACACACAAAACGGGGTCGGAAAACTGCGTAAGCAACTTTCCACGCAAACTTTGGGATTTATGAAAGAAAACTTAGCGGGAAAATGTGCGTAACTTTAAGTTGGCTAAGGACCTGGCTTACACACATTTTGGACATGGAGAGCACCTACAGTGCTGCTGCTGAGAAGGATACAATGATGAAATCCTGCAGCATTATCACTTGTACTGCTTCGTTTTCACACAGAACAAGACCCCCCACACGCACACACACACACGCACACATGCACCAACACACACGCACGCGCACACACAGCCTGAAGCGCAGAGTACGGAATGCAGAATATCAGTAGGGCGACAGATTGAGACAGAATGTCATGCGTCTGTGAGTGTGTTTACATGCAGCCAGTAACCCTTTTAAAACCAGAATATTCACAATAACCCGGTTCCGCAGGTCCATGTAAACACTGCCAAAAACCCGGATATGCTCATAACCAGGCTTTAAAAAACCCGGTTACTACACCTGGGGTAACCCTTTCCTAACCCGAATGTTTGACAGTCCTGTCACTGTGACCCGATTGATCATACGCCCTGGCTACTCAGACAAGGGAGATCTCTGTTTGGGTGACTGGTTAGCACGTGTGACTTACACCCGGGAGTCTGGGGATCAATCCCGATGGGAACATTTTTTTTATATCCGCCACAGATCTCTCTGAAGAACTCACAGCATTGACGGCTTCAGCAACGCTGTGCCACTCCCTGGATTTTCCCTTATGTGTTTTGCAAAAGCACTGCCTTTCATTTCTCCACCTCACCCACAGGTACCTGAAATTTCTGCTAAATATATATATATATATAATTCCCATCTCACCCTCCACAGGTGGTCTCATCCTTCCAAGCTCTGGTCCTCTACCAGAGGCCTAGGAACTTGAAGGTTCTGCAGTATCTTAGCTGTTCCTAGAGCTGCACTTTTCTGGACTGAGATGTCTGATGTTTTTCCTGGGATCTGCTTTAGCCACTCCTCCAGTTTGGGGTTACTGCCCCGAGTGCCAATGACCACGGGCACCACCGATGTCTTCACCCTCCAGGCTTTCTCAAGTTCTTCTTTGAGGCCCTGGTATTTCACTAGTTTCTCGTGTTTCTTTTTCCTGATGCTGCATCACTTGGTATTGCTACATCAACCACATACACTCACTGACCACTTTATTGGGTCCACCTTGCTAGTATCGAGTTGGTCCCACTTTTGCCTTCAGAACTGCCTCAGTCCTTTATGGCATAGATTCAAGAAGGTACTGGAAACGTTCCTCAGAGATTTTGATCCATAATGACATGATAGCATCACACAGCTGCTGCAGATTTGTCGGCTGCACATCCATGATGCAAATCTCCTGTACCACCACATCCCAAAGGTGCTCTATTGGATTGAGATGTGGTGACTGTGGACGCAATTTGAGTACAGCGAACTTATCGTCTTGTTCAAGAAACCAGTCTGAGATGATTTGAGCTTTATGACGTGGTGCATTATCCTGCTGGAAGTGGCCATCAGAAGAGTTATATTAAAGTTAGGTTATTTCATCACACTGTGCTGCGTCTCCTTCAGATATTTTATGTCTTGATGTTAAATCCAAATCAATGACTTTTGGAGCAACAAGTAGCAACTAGCTTAAACATCCCACCCTCCACAGTTCTTTTTCTCACCTCCAAGCATGAAGCTCTGCTCACCAGGTGAAGTTAACGAGTCTAGTTAAAGCAGCTGAGGTATAAAAACTGTGACAGCCTTGATCAGTCTACTGATTTCAAGCTCTTCTAGTTGTGTTAGTAAACGTGGTGTTTTATGGTGTAAAATGATTTCTTTATTTGGTTTGACTTTACGTAATGTTTTTATTTGAACAGAGGTTTGTGGATTTGTTTCCTACTCTTCAGCATTGGAACATGTGTTCCTGCCAAAAGAGGTGAGCATTCACATATTTCCATGAAATTGAAACTAACTGAGGGATGAGCATCTCCTTACTCACCACTGAAATCTCTTCTGGTTCAGGTCAGACTGATGCAGGCTATGGCTTTGGTGCTTGTTCTGGTTACACCAGAGGTGGCTTTGCCCCTGGAGTCGGTGCTGGTTCTGGATACACCAGTGGAGGATCTGCCTCTAGTGGTGGTGTTGGGTCCAATTATGCCAGTGGTGGAGCTGGTGTTGGTTTTGGTGCTGGCTCTAATGCTGACATTTTCAATCCACAAGATGGAGAAATTGCTCAGATGATTGCTGATCTGATGCAAATGAGGCCTAGTCATACTTTCCCACGCTATCCTTGGACCTCTGACCATGTTCCCTTTGGCTCTGTAGAAGAACATCTTGTGTATCCTTCATCCCACGTTGTCCGTTCAAACAGTGGCTACCAGCGAGCACGGGACTTCCGTTCTGATGCCATATACACCGAGGAAACTTTTGGCAACATTCCCTACTCTGAAAAAGACCAAGAGAGCGATTCCTTGGGGGCCAAAGGGCTGAAATGGGCCCAGTGAGTAAAGATCCTGTGACGGCTGATGTTTAATGCAGGTGAAAACAATGCAGCAGTGGGTTGGAAAAAAATAAAAATAAATGAATACATTTGACCAATGCCAACATTTTGTTGTCTTCAGAGTTGGTCAAGTTGGGGTTTGAAGCTTGAATCCAGTGAAGTCTAAGTTCTAATCTGTAGCTATAGGGGAAATGTGTCAAGATGGGGATCATAAAAACCTCCAGACTAGGGGACATGTATTCTTAATGGAGCGATGGGGCTTAAAAACCAACCCAGACTTGAAGTGATGCATTCAGTGACTTTAAAAGTAGCTATTCTTAGATTTAAAAGTCTAAAGCTGGACAGTATTGGTAAAAGGCCGTGAGTATATTTATGTGCTTGTTACAAACTGAATACAATAAGGGTTACCAGTTGGGTTGGGACATTAAACCAAAGGTCTGCTAGAGGTTACCTGCTAGAGGCAGTCCTCATGAGCCTCCTTGCACAAACGAGTAGATTCTGGTCTTGATTGCGTTGACCTCCCTGACCTCCCTGAGTAACTGCTTTGAGAATATTGGGAGACAAGTCCACTACTGATGGATATTACTGGCTGACATTGGCATTAAAGATTTGTGTTTTAGTCTTTAAATCACATTTTACATTTGACTCCTAAGCTGCTTATCTCCATTAATGTTGGAATGATGATGGATCCAAGGGGGAACCCCCAGTGTATTTGTTCACAATGGTAACATAAATTAGGAGTTGAGTGTCTGATATAAAGCTAATATTTTAACATCCTAACGATGGCACATTTTACCAGCGCCATCTTTGTGACATGGGATCACTGTGAAGGGAGAGGGGTGGCGTGTGTGAAATGCCTGGGACAATATTGCATTAACATGAGTCAAATCTGTCAGAGGAAAGAAAAATAAACAGTGCTATGGAAAGATGACAGGTGGGTGTATGGCAAGCAATTTTAATATTTAACCAACTGCACATCTAACTTTTATTTCATATATCAATTTAATGTATCCTTGTACAAATTGTATTACTAATTTAAATTGCAAATGAGGACATCTGTTACTAGTGTAATGTCCAGCAATGGTCAGTTCAGGTACAGTCTGACCTTTCAACATCTATTCATCTGGTCAGAAAGGAGACACAACACTGCATGTGTTCCCTTTAAATGAGCCTGCCTTCATACCAGCTGGGACTCACAGACTCTGCAAGTCTGAAAGATAAACAATAACTTTCTTTCCCAAGGTCCCATCTGTCTGCCTCCACAGAAGAAACAACTCCAGCTCGAATCAGTTGCTAAATTCAAGAATGATTTATTAAATCAATATGAACTTCTTCCATGACTTATAATCTAAATAATCATTAAATAAACATTTGTTTATTACTACTTATAATAATTATAGTATAATGAAATGCTTCACTAATCTTTGCACACTGAATGGATGCTATGTTATGTGTGTCTACTAGAAGCTGCCATGTGTTCAACATGTTTAGACGACGAGGTCCTCACACCTGCACTCACAAAATAACAAGTACGGTTAAGTTAAACTCCATCACATAGTATTAAACCAGTCAGAACATCCTGTATCAAGAAGGCAGTTTTCTGAATTGTCTTGGTAACATCTCTCAAACTTGTCAGCCTCTGATTGGCTGTGCAAGGCATAACAGCCAAACGTTAAAACTAGATCATCCTGAGAGATTCGACAGTTCTAGAGAATCGCTCAGATCGGCCATCTGTAGCAAAACCTCTTTAACCATCAAAGGTTTTGACATGTCGTCAAAACCTTTTTGCACCTGCAAAGCTGATGAGCAAACAGTTCCTGCAGAAACAAAGCTGATATTGTTAGACTCCTTAAGAGTCCGCCAGACGCACGGTTCCATCCAGCTGTTGTGACCCGAGACATCTCTGGACTGAAGAGTCGGTACCACGGGATTCTACAGCCCTCCGGTGCCAAAGGTCAGCCGACCTCTGCGACTTTCGGATCCACCAAGAGGGTCTCTCAAAAACGGGTGAAGTAGACATGACAGATTGTGTCTGAATGTTCTTCTGATGATAACAACTTCATAACTTAGAGCAAACCAAATTCTTTTCACCAGAACTCAGCTTACTTTGACAAGGAAGCTCTGACTGACATCGCATTCACACATAGGTGCCCTCCTCACGTTTAGTTACATCCACTCACAGTAAATGCTTAGTTAATTAGTCATGTTTTAAATTATTTGTAATTCTCTCTTTTATAAACTTGACTCTTTCTTGAAATAACATGAAGTGTGGTTGATCACTGAAAAAGCAAATAACCTAGATCTTCTGAATTAAATCCTAGAATCTTCTGAATTAAATCCTAGACTCTTCTAATGTAAAATGAGGACCTAGCAGGTTAATATTTTATATGTATTTAGAATATTACATCTTCCTGGTCATAACAAATAATCGATTCGCCTACGCTACACTAGTAATAACTAAGGACATCTATAATAACTGCACTAGTAGGAATTAAGTTTGAAATATCTAAGAATCCCTAAAAACCTAAGGTGGCCTTTCAAGCATTCATTAGAAGACTGGATATGTACTCCAGACATCTATAATTCTGTTCTTAGTCAAAATTAACATTCCAGATAGCAATAAAAGCATTCTAGATAATAATTCAGGTAAAAGCTTTGAGGTCAGAGAAATTATACACCATACAAGCAAGTAAGTCAGTTACTTTGCTATGTAATTAATTACATGTACAATGTGGTAACTTGAGTTACTAATGCAGTTATTATTTTCTTAGGGGAAAAGGTAATTTGTAATTATAACTACTTTTTAAATGTAAGATATCCAACTCTGCTTGAATCAAAGGCAAAACTTCTGAACATTCTGGCCTTCACCTTATTACATGATAAGCCAGATGTTTCCACCTTTACTTGTTATAGTGATGATTATGGCTTACAGCTGATGAAAAACCCCACATTCAAAATCTCAATTAGAAAATTGTGCAAAGGTTCAATATTCTAGACTCAAAGTGTCACACTCTAATCAGCTAATACAGAACACCTGCACAGGGTTCCTGAGCCTTTAGATGGTCTCTCAGTTGAATTACTGAAATAAAAGGACTTTTGGACAACATTTTAAAAAATTGAGTTTCAAAAATTGAGTATACAAGTAAAAAACTGTTTCTCTAATAATGAAATGTCTCAATTTCTAAATGTTATAATTGTGCTTTACAAATATTGAGCAACTTAGTCTTCTCTCTTTAAAGAAAAAGAACCCCCCAAAAAACTATTTGAATAAATGTTTATTATTCATGAAAAGGTTAAATAAGAGGTTACCAGTTTGATCACTGAGAGTTCCATTCAGACACAGGGACGATACGACAAACAGCACACAGTGGAACCACAAAATTTAAATTATAAAATCACTACGGAGAATTTACAGATTGCATATTTAAAGAAAGCTTTTATAAAATATCCCAGAAATAGTGCAATTTTACCACCACCTGGAGAAGCCAAAGAAAACCAGCATTTTGGTCTTTTTGGAGTGAACTAAACATGACGCTGCTGTTTTAGACCCAGCAGTTAAAAAAGTGCAAAAAAAAAACCTTGTTTTCTGGACGGCTACATGTTATAAAACCACTTAAATCAGCAGCATCAAATGAAATTAACACACAGTAAGATGTTAACGTAGTGAAAAGATCACGCTTTAGTGAAGGCAGAGTCAGTGTTTGACTGGATGAGGAAAAAGATTCATGTGTGCGACAAATAATACTCGTCCAGTGTTTCACATTTAAAACGATCAAACATGAAATTAAGTCAAACAGAGTCTTTAATTTATGACATCAGTAAAAAAACAAAAATTTTTTTAATTAAGCTAGATACACGAGAGCTACTACATGGATGTGTAACTCATCCCTGACACTTAGAAAAATAAACCAGAGCTTTATTCTAACAGAATCTAACATTTCAGCTTCTCCTGGAGTTTCCCTCCTATAAAAAATCTGCTGCAGTATTTTTTTGTTTGTCATACGATGAAGTTAATTCAGCACATAGAGAAAATAAATCTCCTCCCAGCTGGTTACTGATGAATTATCCCTGTGAGGTGGCGTTCTTTCACCTGAATGTCATGAAAACAAAATTACAATTTGCTGATAAGTATTGCACCAATGACACGCCTGTTTGAATGAATACCAGATGACGCTGAAACAGCCGCAGTTACACAGATTCAGTATTTACACCACCACCACCAACACAGCTAACAAAACCAGTAGATGTGAGATTAAAGTGGCACCAAAGTGAAAAACGGTGATGTCAGAAAACTCCTCAGAGCCATCACTGAAGTTAGAAATGCTCCTCTCAGGCTGATCGGACATTAAAAACCAAAATCTCAGCAGAGGAGAGGAGAGGAGGGAGTGAATGCGTCCCCCCGCTGTGTCTGAGGTCTGTGCTACATGTACTGATTCAACAACATTCCCACGCTGTGCACCTCACCCCCGAGCTGCAGCACCTCCTCCAGACAGAAAGTCCCTGTGCTCTGCTGCTCCTCGATGAGGAGGTGCTAGAGTGCTGCATGAGTAGATCTGGGTTCTGGTTTACACAAAAACAAGCGTGACGCCAGATCACAAAACAAATCTATCAAAAATCCTTTCCAGAAACACTTCCCAAGAAGTGGGAAAGAGGAGGGGGCGTGGCTTCTGCATGCTGATGAACACCCTTGATTAAACACGGAGCACCAGTGGACGAGGGTTACACACGTGCACAGATCTGCTATGAGCGTGCACGCACACACAGGCTGTCTGAGCATGTGCGAGTCGCTGCTCAGCCTCAGTCACTTCCAAGGATTGAGTGGAGGATCGCCGTGAGACGAAGTTCCGGATGACCTCAAAGCTGGTGAACGATGCTGTCAGCATGGTGAGTGGGCACAGCGCCGTCCTGATGCAGCCTCTGCCACTGAAAGGTCGTACTGATGGATCCCACCTCATCATCGTCGATCTCCTGCTCCTTGGCAAACTCCAGGAACACCTGCATAGGAGGAGAAGGATGAAGTCAGATTTGTATACTTAAATTGTAGTAATGGTTCCCAGAAAAATGTCTCCTAAACTTCTCAGAAGGACAAGTTCAGAGGACCCGTCAGGTAATAGAAAACAAAAAAAGCAAATATGTAAAAGTTATTTGTTTCTGGATAAATCTACAAGTAAAAAACTCCTCCTACCTGCTCTAAAGTTGACTGAGAGAAGTTGTACTCCTCAAAGTCAAAAGTCTTTTTGGCTGAAAGCAGAGGACACAAAATGATCAGCAGCTGTGATCGTGTGTGTGTGTGTGTGCGTGTGTGTGTGTGTGTGTGTGTCATCAGAGACTCACCGTTCTCTAACTGGGAGAACGCCTGAGCCAGAAACTTCACGTCCTCCATGGGGATCTTATAAACCATCAGTGTGGTGAAGCTGTACAGGTGCAGATATGAAGGACAGGTTTAGTTTTCTGTACATTTACAACATCAGTGTGCCAGACTGGCCTTTTGTTCGTTTCCATATTTCATCGAGTTTGTTGACAAAAATTAGGGATGGGTACCTTTGACATTTGAATCGATCTGGTACTAATTCCCGGTACCTACAAATAGATACCAGTACTTAACGGTACCAATTTTCGATACTTTTTGAGTGTTCAATATTTTTAATTCTCTTTTATAATTAAATATATATTTTTCTCAATATATAACAATATTTGATAAATATCACGATTAGGGTTGTCACGGTAACCGGTATAGCGGTAAACCCCGGTAAAAAAGTTGACAATAAAAATAACCGTCCAGTTTTTAAAAAACTATATTATCTCGGTGGGTTTACCGTGGCCGCGGTTTAGGCGCGGTGACCCTTACCAGCCACCGTCGCTTCAGCTGAAGTTCCCGCGGCGCGCACACGCACTTTTTAGTTTGCAACGGCACCAAAACTTTGAAGCTGAAATAATGGCCAAAGGAGGAGACGGCAGCGCCCAGGACATCCATCAGCCCTCAAAGAAGACTAAATCGGAAGTATGGGCATATTTTGGATTTCTGAAAAATGCTGAGGGACAGTTAATAGAAGACGGCTATCCCGTTTGCAGAACGTGCAGGAAACAAGTGTCTGCAAAAGGCAGCAACACTTCGAATCGAATGGCACATCTGCGTGACCATCACCCACGTCTCTACAGCCAGTGCAAGGTAAGTTAACATTAGCATTTTAGCTTAAATGCATGACGCGAGGACTTTTGGTTGAGGGAGAATGCAACGAGTCACTATATGCTGCAGCCGCAGCGTCCTCTGCCAGCATTTAAACCGTGTCACGGACACCCTGTTGCTGGATGAAGCATCTTATTTGTTGATGATGAAGAGAAATATATAATTAGTTCCTTGTCATTGATTTGTTTACTTATTCAATGCCATTTATACTTGAACATTTGGATTTGATTACATAGTGTAGTAGTTATTTTAGTAATTTGTTTAAAGTGGCTATTTATTTTAAATACATATTTTTTTAAGGTTGACTTGTACAGTGCTCAAGTCAAGTGTGGACTGGAGTTTTAGATTTTCATTTTGATAATGAAGAAAACAAGTATATGAGAAAACAAGTGGTGTTTCTTTCATTTGTTTACATATTGTTTATGTTTTGAATGTTTGGATTTGTATAATTTAAACCTGCACTGACTACTGTAACATGTTCCAGAAAAAGAAGCTATTTGTTCCTTTACTTGTGAAAAGTTGCACTTCTGCTAAGGCTTTGTGTTATTTTAGGTTTAATAAACACTGTTAAACCTTTTCAAAACTATTTCAGTTTGTGTAGAGCAGGACTATCAATGCTTTCTGAACATATGCAACACCGTTTAAAAAATACAGCGATAATACCGAAAACCGTGATAATTTTGGTCACAATAACTGTGAGGTTAAATTTTCATACCGTGACAACCCTAATCACGATAAATAACATTCAACTGTTTGTATCGTCCTTGTAGTTTTATAAGCTGATAATTAAACTGAAGCAAACATCTTTACCGTGAACTAAATTTACTGTGTATCTTCATTCCTTTTTCTGTCCTTTTTCATTTGATTTTTCCTACTGGGAAGTTAGAATTTCCGAGGAGAAAGCAAACGTACCATTAGCTGATAACAATGGTGGCAATGGAAGCTAACATATCAAGCTAACGTTATATTAAACAGTTTATTTAGCTGCTGGAGCAGATTAAAACGATGATGCCTCACACTTAGATCGTTGTCGCTGGTTTCATCTTCACCCAATCACCCGTCACATTTAGTAAAGTGAAGCCAAACTTCAGAGCGCGTTCATGTTCTTCTAGTCGGAAATTCGGAGTTTGAGGAGAAAGCGAACGCACCATTAGCGAAACGTAAGCTAACAAATCAAGGCAACGTTATCTTAAACATTTTATTTACCTACCGGAGCAGATTAAGATGAGGATGTCTCACTTAGATCGTTGTCGCTGGGACAGGGACCGACGACATAACGCTCTTGCGCATGCGCAGCTGTCTAGGCAAGTTCTCGTTATGAAGGACGGGTACCGAAACGAGGCACCGTTTGAAATGACGTGAATCGGTGCTTATCCTCACTAACACCTTGGTGAAACTCATAAAGTCAGTTAACAGCAGACTCTCTCTCCTCCTTGTGTCTGACTTGAACTTGAACATGTTTTTCATCAAGTGGAAGAGAACAGTGTGACTCCCCCACCTCTCCTGGCGTGCAGCATGTGGAAAAATTCGGAGGATCTCGTCGTGCAGCAGCGCCACCTGCGGGAGCCCCATGTGCTCCTCTCTGAGCTTCACCTCCAGGCTGTAGCCCTGACCAAATTTCCCTTTCAAGTGTTGGATGGAGCCAATGCATCTGTTAGAGAGAGACCATGAAGCTGCAGGTTCCCGTGGTCCAGAATTCTGACTAACATGTAACATTCAGGTGGAAGTTTAGAACCTCAGCTGGCCTGAAACCATAATGGCGACACGGTCGCACACAGCCTCGGCCTCCTCCATGTAGTGAGTGGTGAGGATGGCGCCACGCTGGCAGTTCCTGAACGCAGCGCGAATGGCCCTCCTGCAGACAGATCAACGTTAGAAAAACCACAGCACAGTTCAGCTAAACTTGTTGGATTAAATAATTGTCAGACAGAAACCTGAGGAGAGTTTTTATCATCTCACCACATGCGCTGCTTAGATTTGGGATCCATTCCCGACGACGGTTCATCCAGCAGGACGATCTGAGGATTCCCGATCATACTCAAAGCAAAGCACAGCTACAAACAAACACCGATTTAAAAGTGAAACTCAAAAACAGACTATATTCTATACATTTGAAATCATTTAGCTGATTTAAGAAAACAAACCACTAGAGGAGTGTAGATATTTTAGATGGTTTAGATTTGATCTCACTAGGGCTGCAAAATATATCGAAAAATTATCGTCATCGCGATAACGGGACGTGCGATGGGCCCATCGCAAAGCATGTCAAAAACGGCGATAAATGTTTGGTTCAAACATTTCCATCCGTGTCATACATCAACTTTTTGTAAACCAGCTCTGTTTTTTACGCGGAAATATTATTTGACCAATCAAATGTAGCCCTTCTGATATGCGGCCAATCAGATGGGTCCGTTCACGTAATACGCCCGCCCCCTACGTAGACCCTTCGGATGAGTCGAACGCAACACCCGAACTGAGTTAGCGGCGCCATTCCCTTGTTCGTCATGCTGGCTCAGAGCAACGAACGCACTTTGTGCTGAGGTTTCTGGAATCAGCGCTGCTTTCAAACGTGAACGTGAGTCCGCTCGGGCTGACTCCGACACATGCCGGTGAACCAACCCACCGTTAGCCCCAGGCTCCGGTTAGCTTCCAGCTAAAAGGCTACAGCACTCTCCTCCCAGTCCCACCCTGCTAAAGAGGGCCTGGAAAAGTTCCCCCACACATCAAAGTGATTTTTCATTTATGAGCTTTTATAACCTTGTTAATCAGGATAGTTGATTTGCTGCTGCACATAAACTGTCGGTCAGAAGCTCTGCTAGCCGGTTATCTTAAAAGGAGCTAGTTCAATTTGTTAGCTTGTTATCAGAACCATAGTTGCAGTTTCATCATCTGAGCTGCTTTTTAAGATCTAGGTAAACTTGTTCAATTTGGGGTTAAAAACAAACGTTTTCACATATTTTCCATGTAGTTTTTTGCCAGTTCCTCTTCTGAAAGGTAGACAATTGTTTTCCTCTTTCCCTCAGAAAATCTTAATATTCTCCTAGTTTGGCCCAGCACAGTTCACTTCCCAGTTACAGCAATTCAATTCAATTCAAAAATACTTTATTAATCCCAGAGGGAAATTGATTGTTGTAGTAGCTCAGAATAATAATAATAATCAAGTCATCAAAGAGTTATTGTATATTACAATGGCTGTTGGCAGGAAGGATCTCCAGTAGCGGTCAGTGTTGCAGCCAAACTGAAGAAGCCTCTGATTGAAGACACTCTTCCGTTGTCGGACAGTCTTGTGAAGAGAATGCTCAGGGTTGTCCATCATTTTCTTGATTCTCTGGAGAATCCTTCTTTGCATTATCTCCTCCAGCGGTTCAGAAAATGCCGAAACTCTGGCTGAGTCCTTGAAAGGGCTTGGAGTTCCTCCATCTTGCTGGCCAGTGATCTCACATTGCCCATTATGATCGATGGAAGAGATGGTTTGAATTTCCTCTTTCTCTGTCTCCGTTTTGCTCCCGCTCTGCACCCACGCTTCTTGCGTTTTAGCTCATTTGGGATTTGTGGCTTCAGTTGAGGTATTATTTCAGCCTTTCCAATGTTAATCAGCTATTCCCGATTATAAACCAGACTGTTGCCATGGTTACACATCATGACAAATGCTCAAAAAGTGAAACATGCTAAAAAAAAAATAGTCAAAATCCTCCAAGCTTCACAGCACCAGAAACAGAAAAGTAAAGTGTCCAAAAAAATACAGTTTTTCTTGAAAAACTAGAAGAAAAAATGCCCAAGAAAAGGCAAAACGTCCATTTAGTCAACAGAGCTACTCCAACATGCAGCCACCCAGAGCAGCGCAGTTCCAGAAGCAACAGCCTTATATCATAACCACATAAGTGGAGAAAATGTTCAGTAGCAATGAGAGGATTTGCTGTTGCATTTAAGTGATGTTAACTATTATTTAACATTTAAACTTATTTTCTGATTTTTTTATTTATTCAAAAACCCTGGTAAGGGATGTTTTTCTGTATTTGGAGCATCAGAAAATGTTTTATGGTGGAGGTGATGTTTTAAAGTCACTGAGAAACTGCATGCATGCAGTTTGTTGTTTTGCTGCTAATACAGTAGCAGGTGCAGCTGCATATTTTTCAATAAAAATGTTATGTTGTAATGGAATTCATGCATTAGTTTTTGTTTGCTTTGAACCCAGAGCAGACGTCACACGCCAGACAACATCAACACTGCATACTTTAGTATTTGTTCATTTATCGTGAGTAATATCGATATCGCAATATTAAGCGCTGTTATCGAATATCGCAGCCCTAGATCTCACCTTCCGTTTGAGTCCTGCTGAAAGGTTCTTGGCCGGTTTGTGCAAATGATCCTTCACCTCCAGAGCATTGGACACTCTGAGGACAACAATCACACAACAGCCTTAGAAATATGTTTTAAATACAAAAAGATGCCATTACTTTTGGAAGAAAACATCTCCTCATAAAATTTTCAAATCTAAAGTGTTTCACAATGAAAAACAAATAAAGATATTTTGTGTTACATTAAACCTAAAATCTTAGGGAAACGGACTAAAACTAATCCGACAACACAAACCACATCATCTTTGGCCTCCAAAACACAAACACATGAAAAAAGGTCTTTCTATAAATAAGTGAAAAATATTATTTTTCCCTGGTGTTTAATGTTAAAAATAAGACATCCACCCATGGATAGATTAGTTTTTCTCTGTGTGTTTAGGTGCTCCAGCAACATGTTGGTCCGTATTCCTAGTTTGCTGTTTGAGGCTCTTTTATTGCATTTGTAGCAGAACAACCAAGACTGTTTCTACAGAAAAGTTTGGTTCAATTTCAGCAACTTCAATCAGGTTTCAGGGATTTTAGGCACATTTAGCAGGTACACATTAGTGTCAGTACGGTCGGGTACGGGACCAGAATTTGGTTTCACACCGGGGTAAGATGTGCGTTTTCCATTCTGAAGTGACTCTTTTTCAGACCTCGTCTTTGAAGGTCCGACTGGGACCGAGGTGACACAGACTGACTGGGTAAAATTCACGCCTTCATGAAAGGAAGAGAGATCTGTGTGTGTGTCCTCTGAGCAGCGAACATCTCTGCACGGAGCTCACGTCACAGCTGCTTAATGGGAGGAGAGAGCAGCAAGTGTGTGTGTGTGTGTTTGTGTTAGGGATGCACCGATCAGGTTTTTTGCTGCCGATCACCGATACCGATATCAAAGAATGCTGATCACCGATACCGATCACGTGGATTGGCCAGAAATTTTCTACAACATTATAATGAGTGCTACAAACTACATAATCTGGGAATAAAGGAAATGTAACCTAATCTAAAATGGTCTGTATTAGGGTTGTCACGGTGTGAAAATTTAACCTCACGGTTATTGTGACCAAAATTACCACGGTTTTCGGTATTATCGCGGTATTTTTTTTAAACATGCTACATTTTCACACAATTAAATAAACACTGTATATCAGGAAATATTGTCCTCAGTTTGTGTCTAAATTTTGCCTAAAATGTGTTATTTTGTAACGATGTTATTTGTTTACATTTTTTCCCTTTAGTCTTTAAAATACCAATATTTGCCCATAACTTCTTATTTTATGTCTGTTTGATGTCATCATTTTAAAAATATTAGACCAGATGATACTCAGTACTCAAGTAGCCTTCTAATCAGATACTTTTTTACCCCTACTTGAGTAATAAACCCTATATCAGGAAAATATTGTCCTCGGTTTGTGTCCTTCCAGTGAGCTTTGCAGATGTGGGAAAATGTCAACAGGCAGTAATCATTGTTAAATTTATAATTATTCTCGGAGAGAGACCAACTCTTATCGGCCCCTGGGAGCCCCGTAATGCATAGCGTCATTTCAACATGGGGGTGTCCGCGACAAAGTTTATATGCAGGTAGAGGCGCTGCGGCTACTTTATATAGTGACTCGTTGCATTCTCCCTCAACCCAAATCCTCGGATCACGCATTTTAGCTAAAACGCTAACGTTAGCTTGCCTTGCGTTGACTGTAGAGTTGTGGGTGATGGTCACGCAGATGTGTCATGAGATTTGAAGCGTTGCTGCCTTTCACAGACACTTTTTCTGCTCGTGCTGCAAACAGGATAGCCGTCCGTCTTCTATAAACTCCCTCAGCATTCTTCAAATATCTAAAATATGCCCGTACTTCCGACTTTGTCTTCTTTGAGGGATAATAAATGTCCTCCTGAGCGCTGCCGTCTCCTCCTTTGACCATTATTTCAGCTTTAGCTTCAGGAAAGTTTTGTTGTAAACAAAGCGTGCATGTGCCGCCGGCAACTTCAGCCGATGATATGGTGGCTGGTAAGGGTCACCGCGCCTACACCGCAGCCACGGTAAATCCACCAAGATAATATGGTTTTTTTAAAAACAAGACGGTTATTATTATTGTCAAATTTTTTTTTTTACTGGGGTTTACCACTACACTGGTTACCGTGACAACCCTACCTGATCGGTTTGCTTTGATCTATTTTGAAAATTCCGATCAAAACCGATAGGGGCGCTATCGGCCGATTACGATCAAATGCCGATCCATCGGTGCATCCCTAGTTTGTGTGCGAGTGGAGTTTGAGGACATGCATGGCTGTGAAAGAACAGAAAAAATAAACAATGTGGTTCAGAATCTCCAAAAGCAACAGCTCACGCCTGCCTTTGCTTATCTTATACAGGAGGACACGGACTTCCCCACGTGTCTTAAGCGCCGCCCACGGGCTCTGGGATTTCCACATTCCTGAAAACTCCTTTGGAACTACATGTGAACACTACACTGCCCGTATGAGACCAAACTGACGCGATCCTCCACCAACCGTACCGACCCTGACGTGTAAGCGCCATTTTTAACCCTGAACCTCTTATGTTGTTTCCAAATTTGCATCTCTTACTGGTCACCTGCAGACTCACCGCTTTATGATGCCGGGGACATCCTGTCCTTTCAGACCTTTGATGGCGGCGTAGATCTCCAGATGTTCCTGCAGAGTGATTCTGGGCCACAGAGGGTTCAGCTGAGGACAATAGCCCACGTGCTCCAGAGGGTTGTCCACTGGATGAAACTCGGTACTGTAGTCTCCCATCAGAATCTGGACAAAAACACACAATTAGTTCCACTTCCACTGATGACTGGGTGTTTTATTCTGTTTTTCTACCACAGAACTGACCCAGAAAATGAATGTAAGGTAAGTAACTCTTCAGGACAATAAAACATTTCCATTTGTTGTTGCTGCATCATGGAAAAAAAAACAAGAGGATGCAAACTTGATATTTAAAATCTGAATAAAGTTTTAAATTTTTTGGTATCCACGTTAAAACACTTAACACTTAGTTACCAAATGACCTTTAATTTCTCTGAGTTTTAGACAGAACCTCTGTTCACTAGGAGTGTCTAACATGTCTGTGTGGAGAAAAATCGCCAAAAACCTGAAACCTTCAGCATTACAAAGGAAATCATTTCAGAACGGAAACACATAATAATAAAAAGGTGTATTCTAAATGTAGAGCTGAGTAATATAGATGAGATATAAATAAATCCTTCCCGGAGCAGAGGAATCCCTCAGAGGAAACACTGAGTTTAATAGGCTTGTTTTGGTGTGTGTAGTGTACCTGGCCCGCCGTGGGGTTGGTGACACCTGCCAGCATGTGCATGATGGTGCTCTTTCCTGACCCATTTGGACCCAACAGTCCGAGGACTTCACCTGAAGGAACAGCAGGTTAGTTTTACCCCAGCCAAGTCTGAAACTATGATCCTGGAGGCTTGAATAGAACTTCTCATGAGGAGAAACGAGAAAATCAACCTTTTCGAACACAGAAAGAGACGTTCTTTGTGGCCACTTTGGTCTTCTTGCCAAAAGAGAAGCCTTCTTTTCTGCCTCTGTACTGCTTCCTCAGGTTATGCACAACCACGACAGGTTTCTGGAAGAAATTGACGTATGTTCAGTGAAGACGCTGGGATGACTGCTGAGCTCTGGGACCGCTCAGATGCACTCACCTCTTCACAGGACTGGCAGGTGAGTGCCTCTTTCACTCTGGCCTTCTCTATCTGAACATCCTCATCCTCGTTCATCCCTTCATCTGGGGCCCAATCCAGCTTGGGTTTTGACTTGGACGAGATCCTGTGTAAGCTCAGAGTTAGTCCAACTGGGTCCCATCCTACTGCTGCTGTTCATCAGCAAATCCTCCCATTTAGTCGTGATAAAAGATTCTTTACCTTTGTAATAACAACCCACTCAGTTTACAGCCTTAAACACTTCATACCTGCACTGCATAGCTAATTGTGGCAACAGCTGCAGGCTCTTAACTAAACTTCTGCCTGTGATGTGGAATTTTATTAGAAATGTAACCATCACCTGCAAAGCTGGTCATCTTTCATCGCCCTCCCTCCATAACGGATCTCCAGCCAACGGAGAATGAACAATAGCAGGATGCACTGGAGATAGGGCTGAAAACACATTTTGTTGAAACATGATTCCTCAGCGTCTCGTTTCTCAGCGCTTGGAACAAATTATTAACACAGAGTATCTGCAGGTATATGGGAGCCAAATTTAAGAATTTTAAGACCTTTTTTAAGGCCATTTTGACCAAATTTAAGCTATTTTTTTCTATTAAATTTAAGCTATAATTTCCAGCTATTGCCTGGAACCGGTGCTAACCACGTCGTGAATGTGGGATTAGCCATCCAGTTACCATTAATGTTGCACTTCCCCATGGCGCAAACTCCCACTAGCATGCTCATCTAAAAATAGCCCCCTTTCACAACCAACCGAATGTGTACAGATCCGCTTACGCCAATATCATACACAAAAAATGCTGAAGACTAACTAGAAATTCACAAAAATTTTATAGAAATTAAAGAATCTTGTTTATTGGGTCTTTGGTCATTTAAGACCTTTGGAAACTACTTAAGGATTATTTGTCATTTTTAAGGATTTTTAAGGCCTTAAATTTGGAAAAGCAAATTTAAGACTTTTTAAGACTTTTTAAGGACCCGCAGATACCCTGTAACAGGATAAACTTACAGCTACAGCTGAAATGAGCTGACTTTTCCACAGGGAGTTCTCCACATACAGAGTTGGCAGGAATGTTGCCTGGAAAATCATGGAAACATAATTTGAATAGTCCTGTAATCTCCGGACTATCTCTTAAATCATCATATGCTCATTTTGTGAAAGGGGAACAGAGAGAAGGGGAGGATAATGAACTGGACAATTCAGCGGAAGCCCAAGACAGAAATAGTATTGAAGCAGGCCATACAATTCAAACTAGGAATCAGAAAGTGATCATTCTGCGTTTCTACAACAGGAGGAAGAAAACTGATTTATGCTTATGTTTATTTATGTAGCAGACGCTTTTATCCAAAGCGACTTACAATTCATAACCTATAGGGCATGTTGTGATCTGTGGGGGAAACCGGAGAACCCGGAGGAAAGCCACGCATGCATGGGGAGAACACGCAACTCCACGCAGAAAGGCTGCAGCCGAGTTTCGAACCTGCAACATTCGTGCTGCGAGGCAACAGTGCCAACAACTGCGCCACCATGCAGACCACTCAGACAAAGCAAGAATTTGAAAGGGACACAGGTTTATCTTAATGAACACCTTTCAAAAATGAACACAGACTTGGCCAGGAGAGCTAGGTGTTTAAAGAAACAAGGGAAGATTCAAACTACATGGACTGCCAACCGTAGGGTTTATGTCAAGATGAATGGTAGGCCAGAGGAAGCCAAAGTTCTGTGTATTCGGAGTACGGAGGAGCTAGAAAAACTAAGCCGAGTACCTTGATGTTATGCCTTAGTGTCATGCATGTGCTGTATAAATGGGATTCATTTGCTTATTGTATGGAAATTAAAATTGGACATGAGGTTTTTAGAGAATGAAAGGATTAACATTTGCTCATTTGAACATTTGCAGTTTAAAAAATAAGGTTAGTGAATTAAGTTCCATCTTGAATGGAACAGCTATTCATGTAATGGCTGCTACAGAAACCCATTTGGATGACACTGTAGAGGACTCAGCTGTAGCCATAGAAGGGTACAATATATACCGGTTTGACAGAAACAAATATGGTGGAGGTACTGCTTTTTATATCCAGGGTCATATTCCGGTTAAAATAAAACACAATCTTGGCACGTCTGGCATTGAAGCATTGTGGATTCAGGTTCACATTCCGTATCGTAAACCCATCCTGGCATGCTGTTGTTACAGACCACCGAGCTCAAACACTCAATATCTAAATAATATATCTACTATGTTTCAGAAGGCCTCTGATATGAACAGTGAATTGTTTGTATTCGGAGATATGAATATTGACTGGTTTGCTGATAACTGTTACATGAAGAAAATTCTGAAGGCTACAATAGCTGTCTGTAATCTTGTTCAGGTGGTAAATGTGCCAACTAGAACCAAAACTAATCAGGATGGATTAACAACTTCAACATGTATTGATCACATTTATACAAACTGTTCTGAAAAATGTTTTAACATGACATCAGTGCCTGTTGGTTTTAGTGGTCATAATGTTATTGCCCTGGTTTATAAAACAAATATTCCAAGGGCAGTGCCAAAAGTAATTTAGAGAAGAATGTATAAATCTTTCTCTGAAGATGACTTTATTAGAGATGTGGCAAATATACATTGGGCAGAGGTACTACAACACACACATCCTGAGTTAGCTTTGGACAACTTCTACAAATTATTAGCAGGAGTGTGTGATGAACATGCTCCGATAAAAAAAGTATCTGTTAGACTTAAAAGATCCCCGTGGTTGGACGACGAAATACAGAAAAGTATGAAAATCAGATGAAAAGAAAAGGGTGGCTGTCACATCAGGAAGGCTGGGCGACTGGGAAGATTATCGGGTACTAAGGAATAGGGTAACGAGGTTAAATAGACAAAAGAAAAAAAATACTATCAAAAGGAATTTCAGAACTATAGTAAAAGTGGCAAACAATTATGGGGGACAATAAATGAACTTATGGGTAGAAGTAAAACAAATAAAACAACGTTGTTCATTGAAGTGGATGGTACATTCATAACTAAACCTGAAATTGCACACACACATACACACACACACACGACTGTCTCAGCTGTTATTTTCGTATTTTCGTTAAGGTGTGTGCACGTACAGCATGCGTGCCTCGTGCACGAGCCTACTATTGAAGCAGCCGTTATGCTTTTGGCCTGAGGAGGCAATCGCGAGCATAAAAATTCAGAACTCTGTAAAGTCCCTTTAAAGTTCATGTTTGGAGACCAGCCTTCACAGTTTGGAGGCTCACGCTGGTGAGGAGACACCGTTAGTTCTAGTAACACCTGGGCTCCCAAGGCCTATTCTGACAGGGTGGACATTACGGGACCCTTAAGGATTCCAGTTGGATAACTGGAGGATTATTTAGGAGGATTGGAATGAACAAACTGATTTCAGTGGTGAAGAGTTAAATGAGTGAGTGAACCCACCACCAAGGATGAACTCTGCTAGCTTTAAAAATCAGCCGCTCTAAATAGGCATGAAGGTCAGAGAGGAGCTCTAGGATGGACATGGATAAAGGAACTGTAATGTAGAGGTAAAGTAGGGCAGGGCCAACGTTAGCAGCTGTCATACGGTCCATCTGAAATGTTTGACTGCATTTGGCTTGTTCTGGGACAGGTTAGAGCTCAGTCTCATGTTAGAGTTTTGTCATGGAAACATTGAGATACCTCACATACTGATGGCATCTAAAAAAATATTTTTTCTCAAAATAAAGAATAATTTTAATCACAATTGAAACCTGCAATCGTAGAAAAACCTCGTCCAATCAATGTTCACGCCCTGTTCTCACTGATTGGATAGAAATCGCTCCATCAAATTGTGTGTGTGTGTGTGTATGTGTGTGTGTGTGTGTGTGCGCGCGCACGCGCGTGTGCACACGAGCGAATTGTGAACCTGCATTGTGATTTTGCACTACTTAGATGTAGCCATCCTTACGCTGACAAAAATGTAACTAAGTAACTTTTACTTTGAGTACATTTTATTTACAATACTTTTTACTTTTACTTGAGTAAAAATTTAGGCAAGTACTTTAACTTGTACTTGAGTAAAAAAATTATCAAAGTATTGGTACTCGTACTTGAGTAGGAAATTTTAGCACTCTTTCCACCTCTGCCAATTAGTATCTTACCAGTTCTAGGTAAATTGATGGAAGGAGTACTATTTAAACAAATTCAACATTATTTTCATGTGAATAGTATTTATTCTGATGTTCAGCCTGCTTATAGAGAAGGCTATTCTACCAGCACAGCTCTGACTGCCCTCACTGATGAATGGTTGAGACAAATCGATAGGTCGCGATTGGTCGGAGCACTTTTTCTGGATTTTAGTGCAGCTTTTGATCTTGTGGATCATGACCTTTTATTAATGAAATGATCAGAATATGGTTTTAAAAACTCTGCCTGTCTAATAGGAAACACTGTGTTGTATATAATGGTTGCCTATCGAACACTGTCGATCTTTTGTGTGGGAATCCCCGAGGGAGTTGTTTGGGTCCTCTGTTATGAAGTATTTTTGTCAATGACATGTCTTTTGCATGCAGTGAAGCACATATGACTGTATATGCCGATGATACGACCATATCTGTTTCGGCTTCTAGTTTAGATCAGGTCAATGTTATGCTGCAGAAGGAACTAAGTTCCATTTCTGAGTGGGTGGTGGGGTACAGGCTAAAACTGAATGTGCTGAAAACCAAGTGTATGCTATTGAGCTCCAGGAACTCTACATGAACACAAGAAGCTGCACATTTCTTCGGAAGGACAACAAATTGAACAAGTAAAAGAGACCAAACTGCTGGGAATAACATTAGATCAAACTATGTCATGGACTAACTAAACATATTGACAAAATTGTGAATAAAATGAGTTGGAACATTTCTGTAATTAGGAGCAATGTTCATTATATGCTGACAGAAACCAGAAAACTTGTTTCACAGTCACTGGTTTTGTGTCATCTAAAGTTAAAAAGTTAAAGTCCCATTAGTTGTCACACACACACAGGTGTGTGTGCGAAATTTGTTCTCTGCATTTGACCCATCCCCTGGGGGAGCGGTGAGCTGCAGACACAGCCACGCTCGGAACAATTTGGTGGTTTAACCCCCCAATCCAACCCCTTAATGCTGAGTGTCAAGCAGGGAGGCATTGGGTCCCATTTTTTCAAAGTCTTTGGTATGACCCGACCAGGAATCGAACCCCTGATCTCCCAGTCTCAGGGCGGACACTCTACCACTAGGCCACCGAGAAAGGTCTGGATTACTGTCCAGTTGTCTGGTCCAGTGCAGCTAAAAAGGACTTGGACGAATTACAGAGAGCTCAGAATAGAGCTGCAAGGCTAGCTCTCGGTTGTCCTTATAGAGCCAATATCAACTGGATGCATCACAGGTTGTTCTGGATGAAGGTAAATGACAGATTAGCCTGTAGAAAACTTGGATATCACATAAACCTTTTAGTTTGTTCACAAAGTTGCTACCGACATATAAGAGACATGGTTTTAACACAAGGAAAGCCTCCCAAGTAACCTTTACCCTTCCATTGCCAAAAACTAATGCCCTCAAGAGAACAGTCATTTACAGAGCTGTTTCATACTGGAATGTCCTGCCTGCAGGAGTGGCATTAAGAAATGATCATGGCAGATTCAAAAAAAATTCTTAAGACTTTGGTCATACATAACAATTTAAAACAAAATGACTGATGTGGGTTTTTTTAATTAGTTTTCTATAGTTATTAACTGGCCTGGGGGGGGGTATATTTTCTTATTTGAATTATTTTTATCTTTGCTGAATTTTCTTAATTGATATGTTTGTTTTAAATGTTTTTGTATGTTATTTTTCTTACACTGTATATGTACTATTGTAAATGTTTTTTAATGATGCGGACCCCAGGAAGAATAGTCTTCTCTATGGTGAAGACTAATGGGGATCCTTGAATAAATAAACACATAAGTCAGGTGACTTTTGACTGCCATACAAAAAAAAAACTGTCTTTTCAGGTTTTAGAAACAGAGTAAATTATTTTTGGAATGCTGCAGTTATTCACAAGGAATTCTGTAGTTATCTTCAACCATAAATGCGCCCAGCAGCATGTAGCTGATGAGTCAGGGCTCAAATTCTGCAGGAAGTTCTTCTTTCTTCTGAGATAACCATGCGTATGAACCTGATGGGTCAGGTTCATAAACACCATCTGAAGCCCCGGAGACCGCAGCAAAAACCATTAGCTCATCGGTCCTAACGGACGTTCATTCTATTTCTCTGAACAGAGGCTGTTCGGGAAGCTATCCGTCATGAGTATAAAAGGAATTACTCACAATTTCTACACAGAAAACCACTCTAAAATGGCCAAAATGTCCTGCAGAAAACAGCAACTGAATCACCATGAGCACCCACCTTGGTAATGCAGTTCAGGCAGCCCATGAGAGGATACAGAGGGTTCAGGAGACACAGGACATTCTGCAGAATTCCTGTTATTTCAGGGGTTTCAAACTCAAACAACTGGACCAGGAAGGCAGAAACCACACACACCTGGAAAAATAATCACTCCTTTAGTGATACCCACCAACACCACAGACTTATTCTCCTTTCTCTGATATTTTTTTAAAGAATCTGAATCATTGATCTCAGTGCTAGATTTAATGAACAGAGCTGGGGTCTCACCATCATGGAGACAAAAGAAAAGAAGTCCCTGTTGCTCTGGACCCGTGTGAATCCAAATGAAACCACGTACGTGAGGAGGATCACGGCTGGACCAAAGCCAACAGTGCAGAGAACCTGAGAGAAGGAAGAAGAAGAAAAATGAATCTCTGTGACTCAAGACTTTCCACGTGTGTTTAAACAGCTGCACAGACCAGAGAGGTGAGGTTGCCAGAAACCAGCAGGTTTCCAGAGTGGAAGGAGAAGAGGATGATGTTCATCAAGGAAAGGATGAGGTAGTAGAAGGGGATGTCCACCGCTGCCTGACCGCACCAGTAGGCTGATGGCAACAGACCGGAGATTTGCAGCATTGAACGGCACTTTATCTGAGGAGGAAAGAAGGTTTGTTGATCTGAGACTCGAAGCTTCATGACTTACGTCTCCAACATTCAGAATCCTTTAAGTGACACGATCATAAAAAAGGAAACAGCATTTCTTCTAGGTTTACTTCTCAAGAGGGCAGCATGTGAGTGTGCACGTGCTTTTGAGCAAACAACAGGAAGTTAATAACAAAGAACTCTACTAATGCACCAATTCACTGAGTACTTGGATACATGCGTATTAATTCTGCTGTTCTCAACTTCGGAGCAGGGGAGTGATTGTTTTCATCCACCCTGGGTGTGTTTAACTGATGGTAACATTTCTCAGACCAGATCTGAACAAAGCAGGCTTCATTTTGTGTGTCCACGCATCTACAGTAACCGTACTCAGAGTATGCAGTTATGTGATCAGCTGTTTGTGTGTTTTGCCAATCCAGCCAAGGGTAAAGCTCTGTCCAGACAAAGACTCTCCACTGGATGGTGGAGGCTACTTCTCTTGCTTACGTCAGCAAGGGTCTCCATTTACCTCAGGGAGTGAGAGCTCATTCAACCAGAGGTGTAGCTGCATCCTGGGCCCTTTTCAGAGGAGTCCCAGTGGGCGACATCTGCGCTGCTGCCAGTTGGTCTTCACCGCACACTTTTACTCAGTTTTACCGTTTGGATGTGACTGCACGGTCGCTGGCTCACCCTGTTCTGTCTGCTGGATCACAAGGCTCACACTAAAGCATCGCCTTTTGGGCCTGATTTTCTGATGACTGCTCTGTGGGGCGTGTATATATGTCCTACACTGTATGTGTTGCACCTCGTTCCTCTCCTTCAGGGAACAGTAGTTGTATACATAACTTAACGTTTACGGTTTACCTCTCGATCTCGAGTGTGGTCCATGGCGAAATAGGCAGGCATTCCAGCTGCCAACATTCCCAGCATGATGGCCTCAATGCAGACCAAAGCATACGACACTTTATCGGAGATTTGCTGCAGACCCACACACACAAACACACCGTTTTTACCATCAGTTTTATAAATCACAGATACATGTTAAATGATTTATATCAGACTTTTTCCTGCCAGATACTCACATTCTCAAATGGTTTTGTCCAGGTTCGGATCTGCCCGGATCCGTTCAGACCTCTGAGGATGGCGTTGCTCAGAATGTTTACAGCCATGGGTAAAGCGTGAACAGTGGTGCTGTTAAAGGCGATGCTGTATTTAAAACCCTGTCAGAGCACAGCTGGCATTAGTACAGCTCCAACCCAGTCGAACTTTAAATAATCAGAACAAGGCTCTGCAGACCTTGCTGGATCCTGTAACATTGATGGCAGCACTGTGAGGAGCTACTTCCATGAAGCTGCTGCCTCTCATCAACTCCACTTTGATGTCCTGCGATTCGAGGTTACCGATGAAGTCAGAAATGTCTGAATCTGTAGGTCCAGAGAGAGAAACGTGGTGTTATTACAGGGTATCTGCAGGTTTAAGGGAGCCAAATTTAAGACTTTTTAAGACCTTTTTTAAGGCCACTTTGACCAAATTTAAGCTATTTTTAAAAATAAAATTTAAGCTATAATTTCCAGCTATTGCCTGGAACCGGTGCTAACCACATCGCGAACGTGGGATTCATCCAGTTACCATTAAACTTGCACTTCCCCATGGCACAAGCTCCCTCTAGTTTAACCAGCTAATGTGCTCATCTAAAAATAGCCCCCTTTCACAACCAACTGAATGTGTACGGTTCTGCTTACGACAATATCGTACACAAAAAAATGCTGAACACTAAATAGAAATTCACAAAATTTTTAAAGAAATAAAAGAATCTTGTTCATTGGGTCTTTGGTAATTTAAGACCTTTGGAAACTGGATTTAAGGATTATTTGTCATTTTTAAGGCCTTAAATTTGGAAAAGTAAATTTAAGACTTTTTAAGGACCTGCAGATACCCTGTATTAAACACCAGGAATGATCCAAACTCGTGTTTTAGCCCTACAGCTTGTCCTTTAGACCAAAAAACATTTGTATCAGTAACAGACTCACCTGATGAGTTCTGAACCAGCAGGCTGGTGGCATATCTGTGAGGTGCCTGATTTTTTTTGAGAAGGTAAATGGGTGAAAACTGCCGTTCTGGTGAGTGAATCTGGATGTTTCCTGTCACCAGCGAAATCACGAGGATGGTACCAACAAACAGCAGGAACAGAACCAGACTGCAACACAAGAGACTGTTTCAGACACACTCTTCTAGTGAGACAGGAAACGTTCACGTGCTCCTCCGTCTGCAGCTGTAGGGACTTTTACTTACAATACCCATGTTTGTGTAAAGTGTTACGTCTTCCTTTCCTGCATGTTAAATGCTGCTGCCACTCACGTGTAGATGAAAGCCTTCCACTCCCTACGCATGTTGAGCATGTGCAGCCACGCCACGGCGCTGAACTGCTGCCACCACAGAGCGTGACCCGACACAGCCGACTTATTTTCAGAGAACGAGAGCAGCCGCTGGTCCGTATCATCCACAGCGGCGTTATCGTACTCATCCTCAGCCTGCTCTTGGTTAAACACGCTGTAGTCTGGTGGCATTAAAATACAAAGTGTAGCATTTTTACTCCAAGTTTGTTTATAATCTTATCAATCAAAACCATGACACTTTAGATTCACACCCACCAGCTTGATCCACTTCATTTTCTGCCTCCAAACGAAGGAAAACATCTTCCAGGGTCGTCATGGAAACCCCATAATTAATTATCCCCAACTTTGGTTGCGAGTCCAGCTCCGAAAACAATCCTGCGAATGAAAAACAAGCTAAAGACGACGAGTCAAAGCCTGGACCCCATTTAAACATTTAAAAGGCACGCTTTAGGACTTGTGACCACCGCACACATCTCTGTTGCAATTTAGTCTTCATTCTGTCTCAGCTTGTTCCCAATATGATCTCCAAGCCCTCATAAAGTTATCTGAGGTTTCCTCACTCAGAAACTAGACTGAGAAGGGTTCCTGATGCCTCTGAGAGCAAAGCCCAGAGAATCTCTCAAGTCAATGACAGCCTTCATAAACGTTTTTTTTAAAACTCCATTAAAAAAAACCTTTTCAAATTAGCCGCCAACCACCCTGAGATACTGGTCAACTGGATGAAAACAACACATAACTAGAAAGCGTGTGAATCAGCTTTGTCCGAACCAACAGCTCTGACCTGGAAATGTGTCCATGCTTTCAAAAGGCAGCGTGAACGTCAGCTCTGCCTCATGCTGTCGGGACAACTTTGCTTTGGGAACATGACGGTTGACCAGTGATACAACACTTTCTGCATTACATCCCTCACTGACTGACATTCTGCAAAGACAAATACATTAGAAAGAGATGTGTGTTTTGTTTAGGACTCTAAATTGATCAATGCTGTGAGACAATAAAAAGTAAATCTATAGACCCTTTTATTACCTACGTCATCAGAAGTTGCGCGCGCAGCCTGGCAACGAGAGTGAAGGCTTCCTCATTCACACTCGATACTAAAACAGCATTTTAAACCCTTTGTTTTGAAGTTCTGAGCACATAAAAATGTCGGGTTGTTACGTGTATGGATGCCAGAATCGCTTCTCTTCAAGCAGTGGACTGAAACTTTACAGAATTCTGAAGGGAGCACATCCATTTCAACAAAATCGGAGGCGTCTGTGGCTGCAGGCCATCAAAAGGGTTGATGAAAACTGGCCTGAAAACACGATCCGAAATGCTCGAGTTTGTAGCGCCCATTTTATATCAGGTAAGGTAATTATGTACTAAGATTACACCAGAAAGCTGGTTAACGTGTGTTCTATTAACTAATGTAAGTTGCGTTTGCTGGTTTGCTTTTAGTATAAACTGTATTTCTCTAAAATTAACACGATTGTACTCTGAGCACGCTAAAAAAAGAAACCTATGCTATACTCACCCTGCCATGCAGGTACAGTTGGCTGTGAAGACGTAGTTCTCTGGTTTGTTTACTATGACCCAAGCCTCGTACATAGCAGTCTCGTGTCCTTGTCTTTGGCTAGGAAGGACTTCTGCCTTCAAGACGCAAAACTCAGAGTCTATGTCGTGATATTTTACTTTCTGCACGTGGCCACAGACAACATAGTTGTATGCATCTAACGATTTGTATGCCCGTAGCTTCTCACGTGTGTACTTACTGGGCCTCTCCACTAAAAACGTGTATATATCGGGCCACTGGATATCTGGCCACGCACCTACATCTTCCACCCATTCCGTAATGCCACAGGGATCCGGGAGTCTGTTGCCATTCGTTAAAGTGAGTTTAATAATATAACATTCAAGATTTGCCGGTGATAACCCCGCAGCGTAGCTTGATAAAGCCTGAAACAACGCCATTCTCTGTTGCCAAGCTGCACGCGCATTCTCGCTGACGTCATATTGTTTACAAACAGTAAAAGGGTCTATTAGGCAGGTATTCTCTTTTTGTAAGGACTTTGAAGCACTACTCACCTGAGATGATAACCAACCCCACACTTGATCTTGAGATAAAGGGAGGAGCCGACGCATTTCAGCTGCCCTTGAGAGATCACGGCTTTACGATCTAGAGAGAAGATACACACCCAAACCAGGTGAATAAGATTTGGTTACAGATCTGTTGTTTTTTTCCACCAAACTTTTTAGATATAGTGGTGATGATGATGCGTTTAGATCTTTATGCCTGGTTTAAGTTCACACCAGCGAGGATGTCCGCCTCGTCCATGTAATGCGTGCTGAGAACTATAACTCTGCCGGCTCGGAGCTTCTTCAGCAGAGACCAGACCTGGTGTCTGGAGCAGGGGTCCATTCCTGCTGTAGGTTCATCCAGAAGAAGAATCTGACAGAAACAAGCATGCAGAAGAACAAAACTAGTCAGATCTCTGTTAGCAGAGCGACGCCCACATCTCCAGCATGAGATGAATCCACCACAAATGAGCTGGTGCAACACACATGGTTTTAGGTTTCAGATTATGGTCAGCATGAGTAAGTTACAGTAAAAGCAGAAAGGGGAAATGTTCTTTTGAGGCATGGAAGAATTAGAACGTTTTAGATGAAAGTTTTGTGGGAAATGTCAAGTTGTACACATCTGATTTAACTAAAACTTTAGATCTGAAAGAGTTGAATGCTCAGAAAATCTGGTCACCTTTGGATTTCCGAGGATGGCGATGCCCACGGAGAGTTTTCTCTTCTGGCTTGCACTTAGATTCTTAGCCTGAGCCGTCATAATCTTCTCCAGGTCCAGATCCTTCAGCACTTTGGTCACCTGTCAGTGAAAACAATTATTACTGACATCAAAACTTACAAGCTTACTTTAGGCTTCCTCTATTGCATCTTAAGCTGCAATTTATTTTAAAACTTAAAAGAAAATTAGTGAGAAACATTTGCTAAAAAAAAATCTAGGCCTTTGTATAAAGTTGAATCGAGGAGATCTTTGTTCATTTGTTTCCCCGCTCTGTGGACTTTTCAAACTTTCCTTGAGAAAAATGTAAGTGACATCAAAGTAACGTTAATAAATCCAGTGCTTATTAACAAAAATGAACTACTGGCCCACATTAGAGGAGTTGCTGTGTTGTCGCTGCGTAAAAACAAACGAAAAAGTAAAATAAAAGGGCCAAAAGCACTCAGGAAGTGCTGCGGGCTCAGAGCGTGATTACATCATCATCCTACCTCAGTTTTAACATCTGCAGGTGGAATTCCTTTTATGGCAGCAAAAATCTTCAGATGCTCCTCCACAGTGAGCACATCAAAGATTATGTTGAACTGAGGGCAGATTCCCACCAGCTGCTTCATCTCCGACCCCTCGGCGACCTCTGCAACAGGAGACCCGTATATGGTGGCCGAGCCGTTTGTGGGCGGGCAGATGCCGCAGAGGGTGTTCATTAGAGTGGACTTTCCAGCTCCGCTGTGTCCCAGCAGGGCTGTGATCTGGCCCTCGTAGATGTCAAACGTCAAGCCTTTGAAGTAAATGTAAAGGAAGAGATGGGCAGCATCATGATAGTGTGAGTCCACTTTGGAAAAATCTTACCGTGACAAAACCGCGCCCACCTCTCAAAGCCTCCACCATGTTGTCCTTGTCTTTGTAGACTTTTCGGATGTTGTTGATGCTATCAATGATGGAGTGAGCGAGCAATAAAAGAAAAACAGACGAGAGAAGTGAAGACGAGGGCCGATTAAATCAATCCGCCAAGATCCACCTCAATCCTCCAAAGCCTTTTACCTCCCTCTGCTGGGTGCTTCTCTACAATAAGATGAAAACTCATGATCCAGTGTTTGCTGTGTGTTGTCTTTAAAAGGGCCCTTGGTCAACGGCTGCTTAAAGCTCCCAGGAGATTCTTCAGTTTTTATCTGAACATTAACCAAACTGTCCAGTTTAAGGTGTGTTGGTTATGTCATGTGTGAACAGGACTTTAGGAGCCTTTTTACTGCCAGAGTGATTCAGAAATCAGAGTGGAGTGGGTTAACAAACCTAAACTTGTTCAGGTGCAAAAATCGACCACGGTCCAAAGAAAACCCGAAGAGAGCCAGAGACAGCCTCCAAAACACTCTTACACACACCTGTATGCTCCAGAGCAGAAGTACTCCTGCCTTTACGCTGCTCAGTTAATCAATGCAGCGCTCATGTTTGTGTTCTCTGACTTAGAGAAGCTCTGATTGTGTGTGACATGTTCTGCAGGTAAGAAGTTGTCTGATCACAGATTTGAGTTGATCTTCCTGTTCGACACTGGATTAGCTCCCATGAGAAAACAAACTCATCTGTCAGCAGGTCTGGGTTTTTACCGGATGGCTTCTTTTCCTCTGAATTCAGGGGAAACGGGCTCAATACACTCTTCCCCAGCAGGGGCGCCGTTAGCTTCAGCGTCATAAACCGAGCTGACTTCAACGTAGCGCTTCCTGTCTTTGGACCAATAGGACGGCTTCAGGAAGTACAACAGGGATCTCCTCATTCCAAAGTCACCTACATGATAGAAAAATGATCACGTATTTTATCACTACAAAGTAAATAATTAATTTGATTGTAAGTTTTTTACCAACTTACCAGGAATCACCTGGTCCAGGTAAACAGCCAAAAGAAGGTAGAGAACACAGTCCACAGCCAGCATGAACAGGGGGACGTAGAGGGGATAAGGACCGCTGGTTAGGGTGGAAAACACGGCCCCGTATCCCTGAGCCTCCAGGTAAACCACCTGATACAGACATTAAACAGAGGTTCACTAACAGATCCGTTTTGAGGAGATATACGCAATCAATCGTGATGATCTGGCTGGCTGACCTGTGCAATCCCGATTGAGAAGGCGCTGGGAGAGAGCAAGCAGAGGAGCCAAACCAGCGGCTGTGGGAAGTCTTTCATCAGCACAACGAAGAGCGACATGCAGCCGAACACCACCGTCAGCATGGAGCCCACCGTGCTCGCAAACTTCGGCTTCTTAAATAATGGCGTCAACATGAAGGAGAAAAAGATCTGAAGAGAAGGGGATAATAAAAGTCTGGACGAAAAGAATTTATCACAGCTGCATAACTAACAACTCATGAAACGGTGACAACCTAATCATTTTTTTTTCATTTTTTATTTATTTTTTTAATCTGAACTCTGAATTTTTCCAGCAGCTTAGGCAGCTCCTCTCAGGTTTACGTCTGATGAAACAGGATCTACTCACAGATGATATTCCATAGAGGAAGTTGAGGAAAAAGATGATGAAGAAGTCGCTGTTGGGGAACAGTGAGGTGACTGTGGCGATAAGGGCCATCAGGATGGACATGGCGGTCACCAGGGCGGCGTACAACAGGCCCCATGATAACCTACAGCAATAAATGTTAGGGAGATAAAGATTCACTCGCATCAGAACCCTTTTATAAAGTCCTCACCAGAAGGCCGTGTTATAAAGCCCCATCATAGTCATGGTGTCTTTAAGGCGATGCTCCTTCTCAGCCACCACGTTGACGATGAGAAAGGTGACGAAGGGGGTGAAAGCCAGCACTAAGTAGATGGAGATGAGGGCATGGGGGAACTCGTGCACCTCTACAAAGCTTGGCTGGCCCATCATAAACACGTTCAGACTCAGCTCTTTCCACACAGAGCGCTTTGTCTGCATCTGGACACGAAACACGGAGCATCAGCAGATTAACGGGATGAAAAAAGAAGGAATCAAGTTCTTTCGTTAAAAAATATTCTGAAAAAGTATTTAGGATGGAGGAGACCACTCATGTCTCAAGTGTCTCACCTGAATGATGGCTGCATCGATCAGCGACTGAAGATGAGAGAAACCAGAGAGCCAGTAATTAGCTGCTCGGCATTTCTCCAAGCTGCTGTAACAGCTGGCTAAAGGAAAACAAACACATAAAAAACAGAATAAAGTTTATGTTAGACAAAGTAAAAATATAAAAATCTGGACAAAATGCAAACAACAAGGAGAGACAAGGAGAAGAGTTGGATAGACTTCTCTATAAATCAGAATGATGCAGCTCTCAGGCTGGTCCTGGTTTATCTAAAGATCTGATGAGAAAAACAGCCCCTAACCCCAAAATTCCACTACCTCCGCTCCGCTGCGTTCCGCTCCGGCACGAACTCCGCAGCAAAATCGGTCCCGTTGTAGTCAATAAGAGCTGTTCCACTACTGCCGTTCCGTCATCCGGCAAAAATAGGATCGATTCTATTTTTGCCGGACGCCGGAGCACCTCCGCAGTAAATGGACAGAAATCACAACCGCCCAACAGGAAAGGGAGCAAGCACAACTTCCATTATTTCACAATAAATCGATAAACAAAAAGCATTTTTTGTTTCATATGCACAGGTTTAACAACTTTTAACAACTATCAATGGCGGTTGAACTTTAAATGCACAAAAATGAGCCATAAATACAGTTTCTACTATCAAAGTAGTCGCCCTTTGTTGATCCAAACACTGCTGATCTCTCAACACAAATGATGGGCAGATTAAACAGTTCATTTCGATGCTTCTCCCACACAACGGGTGTTTGGATCTAACTTCCGCGTTTATTGCTCGGACTGTATCGCAAGATCTCGAAAATCCCGCGCATGCCTGTTTGCCCCCCTCAGGTCTCCGCACCGGAGCGGAGCCGTTGTAGAGCGGGTACCAGTAAAAATTGAGTTCGGAAGCGAGCGGCTGCGGAAGGCGGGGGCGGAGCGGAGGTAGTGGAATTTTGGGGTAAAGGATCTATGAACCTGCTGTGTAGAGGTCTCTGGATATTTTTGATTTAAGGCTAATTTCAGATCCAGCATTCACCAACTTTTTTCTTTCTGATAAACTAACAGGTCCTGATGAAAAAATGAGATAAACTCTAATGCTTTACCAACAGACTCGGTGTAATCCCTTGAAAGGGGCAGTTTATTGTATGGAAAGCGCAGCTTGTACGATGTGGCGGCGCTGTTCAAGAACACAACACCGATGTAGCTAGACGGGTCGTACAAGCTGGCGTTCTCCAAGTCCTCCTCACTGGCAAAAAACTCCAGACGATCCTGCATATCTGCAAACAGAAGGTTGACAAATGTCTCCGTGGCATTTCTCGGTCTGCAGCAGAAACCCAAATCTCACATTTGCAGTCACACTCACTTATCTCCCGGGCCACATCTTCCATGATGTGACTGGTGATGTTTGTGATTGGTGTGTAGCCCAGACCACTGAAGTCCTTGAAGATCTTCTGGAAGTTGCTGTTCAGCTCTACTGTGCTGATGTCTCCATAATAAATATGTGGGTTCAGTGTGCTGATGAGAATAAGGAGACTCAGGAGCAGCAGAGGGAGGATCAGTTCCTGAAAAAAGACACAAACATGAAAAGAATTAATCCACAGATGCAGAAATACAGGACTCGTTCACAACACGCCTTTAGATGTTCAAGTCCAAGTTTGTTTCATTAATCAGAAAACCAGCTGCACAAAACAACTATCTTTAAATCCCATTTAAATTATTCAATGACTCAATTATTATGATTAAGACCGTAATTGAAATTAAATAACCCAAAATGGTGAAGAGTCTTTTTTCTATTAGCCACGTGAAAGCCACACACACACCGATCCTAACGAACCACTTTAGGTTCGATAAAAGGGGAAACTTAAAATACTGCTCCATGACTTCTGTTGAACATACGGCATTAAAGTAACACTATAAACTACTTAAATTTAAAGCTAGAGCTTTAACATTGATCTCAGTGATTGTTGGGTTAGGGTACATATGTCAGACAAAAGGCCTGCGGGCCAGATGCGGCCCGCGGAGCATTTTTATGTGGCCCGCGAGATAAATAGCAAAAATATATTAAAACTGGCCTACTGGCCGATTTTACCGCAAAGACTTCAAATCCCATGATGCTTTGCGGCGTCAGCGCAGAGCTGACACGCCCCTTCCTTTGCGTTTTTTCCAGCACCTGCTGCTGGTGTCTGCAGCTCCGCTGTCTCGGACAAACTACACTCTTCTCACTCAGCGCCGAGTTCACTCAGCTGTTTTCTGACGTTGAAGCCCAGAAACGGAGATTCTAGCCGCTCAGTAATGTGTTCACGACTGAAATAGAAAGTTTTCCAACTAACGTCCAGACAGAGCCGATATAACTCCAGCGAGCAGCAACACGCTCAAACCAGCATGGCTCTGTGGCTGCTGTCGTTGTGTTTCCTCCACGACACACAACAACGTGGTCAAGCTGCTCAGACATGTTCATCAGCAAAACCTATGTGAGCACCTGTTGTCATTATTATGATGAAGATGAAGAAAACAACAGGAGTCTCCTCCTCAGCTCAGATCAACCCCATGATGCAGGTATCTGGCTGGAACAGGTGAGCATCACAGTAAACCAGTGGAGCAAACTGAGCTTTAAATATGTTGGTTTTATGCTCTTTTTCTGCTCCAAAACATGAAAGTTAACAGGTGAGATGTTGCATTTTCATTTAAGATAAAATGATATGTTTATTTTGTTGTTGGCCTGTGAGAAAAGATTTAACCTACAGTAAACAGGAAGTGGAAAGGCTGCAGATAGATGAATAGAATAGAAAATCCCTTTATTGTTCCTCAGTGGGGAAAGCTAGACGTCACAGCAGCGATGACACTTATTACAGGAGAAAAAAAGGAGAATAAAAAATAAATGAATAAACAAGAAAACATAAACCCTGAATAGATTTTAAAAATGCTGATTATACCACAAGTAATGAATACCACTGATGTGTTTTATTTAAAACTGACTTGCTTGTATGTAATTTGGTTATTCCACATTCAGTGTTAATGCAGAAACATGTTTGTTTCCAAATTTAAAGGTTCAAAATTGCATATATGTTGATAAAGAAAATGTGCAAATTTGCCGTCACTTTTTCAAAAAATTTTAAGTTTGGCCCTCGACTCTGTCCCAGATTTTCATTTCGGCCCCGTGTGAGTTTGAGTTTGACACCCCTGGGTTAGGGTTATTTAGAAAAACTCGGCTCATGCTAGTGTTAGCTTGTTGTTAGCACTAGCTACAGCAAGCTGCTGCAGGGTGTTTATGACAGTTATAATTCTGCTTTAAAATGGCCTGTATCTGTATAGCGCCTTCTTAGGGTTTTACAACCCCCCCCCCAAGGCGTTTCACAACACAATCAGGCATTCACACATTGGTGGTGATGAGCTACAACTAGCCACAGCTGCTCTGGGACGCACTGCCTGCTGAACACATGCGCCATCGATCCCTCCGACCACCACCAGCAGGCAAGGTGAGTTAAGTGTCTTGCCCAAAGACAACTGCAGTCGGAGCCGGGATCAAACCTGCAACCTTCTGATTACTTGCTACTTGCTGTCCCTGAACAAGTAGGATGGAGAAGCTGGAAACTGTTTTATGTTGACCATGATGTTCAGTCTGAAACATATAAGCCTTAAATCTCACGCCATTGCAATTTCACACAGTGGAAAACGTATCCCTGAGAAGGCCTTCCTTCTCATAGATGATGAAGCAGAAATCCTCCACAAAGAGAAGCTGCTTCACTAGGACTTTGAAATGCACAACTTCAGCTACAAAAAATGATGCACGAGCTACTGAGGGTGAGATGGAAACAAGAGCCAACAGCACTTTCCTTAAATAAATCCTAGTCCAGCGGTCTGCAAGCGATGGCTCGGGAGCCAAAAGTGGCTCTTTGGATCTTCCACAGTGGCTCTCAACTCTGACAAGTAGTTATGTAAAACTAACTTGTGCTTTTAAATCAAGATAAAATCTTTAAAAATCCAGGCTGAATCAGCTTCTAAGTTTTTGCATTGAACAATTGCCTCAATTTTTCATAGCAGCATTACATTGGAAGCATCAATAATATATTTTTATTTTTCATTTAAAATTTTTACCTAAATATTGACATCATATAGAAAAACATCCCATATTCTTTAGAAAATATTTTATGTTTTCTCTTCATTTCAAAAGCAAATAATAGAGTCAAAAACTTTATAACTTTTTTTTAATTACTAAAATGTCATAGTTATAGTGAACATAAAATATTTCAGAAAAATGTCAGTATCCTGATTTTATTCTTAGACCACAAACCAGAATTCTCACGTTATTCTCAGAAATGTAAGAAAACAGAACTTTTTTTCCTGTGGTGTTAATTCTTTTGATATTTCTGAAAAAATACAAATAGTCTTTTTTCAAAAAGTCTAAGAGTTGTTGATCTAAAGTTTTAGTTTTACTCTGTAGGTGTTTGATTGTTTAATATGTTTTTATTAGAGTTACCTTGGAGTTGGAGGCCAGCTGTAACAGACCACCTTACTTGGCCTAATCTGCACCATTGGGTCTTACCAACTCTCAAGGGAGAAGAGATTCCTGTTTTGTGTATTTATCTATTCTCTTTTGTAGATAGTTGGTATAGTATTGTGTTGTGTTCATTTGTAGTTACCCAAACATAATGGACTAATTAGCGTGTGTAATGTTAGGTGTAGTTTACTTATGTTCTTTGCTAACTGATGTCTCCCCACTCTACTGTGTTGACAGTGGTCTGATCAGACACTATTTAGGTTGTTCCTGTTGTGTCCCTGGTTGTGCATCATCTTTGATAGAAAAAACCAAACATCCAATCCCCCAAAGATCTGCTGTGGTGATGGCTCTGCCCTGGATTAAATCACAACCTACCAACCTAATCTGGGCATCTGGCTGGATTCATCTTTATCTTTCACCACTCATATCAACAATCTGCAAACAAAAGTCAAAGCAAGATTAGCTCTTCTTTTGCATAACAAAGCTTCCTTCACACATGCTGCCAAACACATCCTTGTTAAAATGACAATACTACCAATTCTGGACTACGATGACATCATCTACCAACTGGCTTTGTGCTCTGCCCTAAAAAAAACTGGACATTCTTTTTCACTCAGCCATCCATTTTGTCACTAATGCCCCCTTCCACACACACCACTGTGATCTCTATGAACTGGTGGGCTGGCCCTCCCTTCACACCCAGAGACTCCATCACTGGCTTCTTTTTGTCTACAAGACAATTCTAGGCAAGACACCTCTCTATCTGTCCTCGCTTCTTCACCTCGCCCATGATAAACATCACACTAGTGAATATATTCAGCTCATCATCCCCACACTTCTACAGTCTTTGGCCGCAACTCCTTCCACTTTGCAGCAGCATATGACCGGAACCATTTACAAAACACACTTAAACTTGCAACTTTGACACCTATTACAACCTTTAGATCTAAATATCTCCAGATTATAACAGACTGCTGCTCTTGTGGATCACCCAGATCTCTCTCACACGCACGCACGCACGCACGCACGCACGCACACACACACACACACACACACACACACACACACACACACACACACACACACACACACACACACACACACACACACACACACACACACACACACACACACACACACACACGTGTAAAATTATTCATGTAAACATGGTAATGAGACAAGTCTAAACCACAAAATGAAATATAAAGTGAACATAATAGTGGTGAAGATGTCATCCAGTGCAGGCAGCTGTGTGTTTATTTTTTCTGCAGTTTTGATTACTTTCTGCAGGGCCTTCATGTTAGCTGCAGAGCTGCTGCTGTACCACACCAGGATGCTGTTGGTCAGGACACTCTATGGAGCAGTGATAAAACCACACCAGCAGTTTATCTTCCTGAGAGCTCTCAGGAAGTAAAGCCGTTGTTGTGCTTTCTTTATCAGACATTTGGTGTTTTTTGTCCATGTGAGGTCCTCTGATATGTTTGTGCCCAGGAACTTGAACTGTGACACCCTCTCCTCCTTATGACATTGTCAGTGATTTTATTTCAACCTGTATTTTACCAGGTAAAATGTTTGAGAACACGTTCTCATTTACAAACATGGCCTGGCCAAGAGGTCTTGGAAGGAAATGCAAAAAAATAAAAATAAAATAAACAAACAAAAAAAGACGACAACAAAAAACAGATAAGCACAACAGATCAGACATAATAGGTTATCAACAGGCATTAGAAAATTTGAATCTGGGTCTGAAAAATAAAAGAACATATACGCATGCATGCATGAGAATCAATTGCATCATACAGGTGTGTGTGTGTGTGCGTGTGTGTGTGTGTGTGTGTGTGTGTGTGTGTGTGTGTGTGTGTGTGTGTGTGTGTGTGTGTGTGTGTGTGTGTGTGTGTGTGAGAAAGAGAGAGAGAGACCTCTAGTTTACTACCTCCTTACATGAGCTGGCTTTAGTAAGAGCAAAGTCCATGTGGTTGAACTCCTGTGCTATGACAATAAAAATATATTGAATCTTAAATATGAATAAACAGCTAGCAGAGCAGACCTGGAGGCTCTGCTGCTTGGTCCTCCATTTGATGAGCAGATTCTTGTGCAGGAGGCTTTTTGTTTGGGACCAGACATCAGCATCAGTTCTAAACACAGGCTGCATGCTGCCAGCATTCCTCATCCGGATGATGTAGGGACGGGAGGTCGTCTCACTAAGGCTGGCCTCAGCTGCAAAAACAAAAAAAAGTAGATAAGAAAAAACCTTGAGAAACACAGTTCTAATCTCACAAAGGGTTTTCCTAAAGCTGTGATATTTCCAAACCAGTGCAGCACCTCCTCCTGTAAGGTTTCCTGGTAAATGGATTTAGATCAAGCCTGCATGTGAAACTCAGGGTGATGCATCATTTATTTTAAAATATAACGAGTAAAAAACTAGATTTTTAAGACTGTTTTTCACAAGCAGAGGCTAACTTGTGCTTTACTAATGAGCTCAATGTTTTGAGAATAGCTTAAAGACAGCTCACCGTGTATATAGTATGACCTTTAATTGTGAAGCTATCAAAAAAAGTTGTTCCTTTGCCATAACTGATAAAGTTAAAGTCCCATTAGTCATCACACACACTGGTGAAATTCATCTCCGAATTTGACCCATCCCTGTGGGAGCAGTGAGCTGCAGATATCAGAGTGGTTCCAGCATAAATGGTTTCTTATTTACATACCGTAGTTCAGTCAGCACACTCAGAAAAGTCAACTAGAAAGTGGTAACACCAGGCTGCTGCAAGGTGGCACTGTTACTGTTGCCTCGCAGCGGGAAGTCCAATCCCCAGCTGCAGCCTTTCTGCATTAGCATATTTTCCACATGCATGTGTGGGTTCTCTCTGGGTTCTAACTTAACTGCACTGCTAAATCCACAATTGTAATTTGCTTTGGATGAAGGGCCGACTAAATACATAAACATCAAAAAGATATTACAGGCATAAATTAGGCATTGCATTTGAAGCACCACATCAACAGCTATGGTAAATGGGCTGTATTTGATTAAGCACTTTCTAGGGTTTTTCAACACCCCAAGGTGTTTTACAAGACAGTAATTCACCCAAGCACACACAAATTCACACTCTGGGGGTGATGAGTTACATTATAGCCACAGCTGCCCTAGGGCACACTGACAGAGGCGAGGTTGCCACCACCAGCAGACATGGTGGGTTGTTTTGCCCAAGAACACAACAACTGAAACAGACGTGACTGGAACCTGCAACCCTCTGGTTACAGGGACGGGCACTTACAGCGCACCAGGCTAAAGGCCAAAGGTGACAGATCCTTTGCTGCAGTGGCCCCCAGACTCTGGAACTCTCTCCCCCTGAGCCTGAGATCAGTGGACTCCTTTAAAATTAGCTGAAAACTCCCCTGTTCAGGCTGCACCTGGAACCCTGCGTATTTTGGATAATAAAAGGCTTTCTGGGCTTTTTAACTCATTCACTGCCACTGACGACTAAAGTCGTCATTTTAAATCCAACTGTTCACTGCCAATGATGACTAAAGTCATCATTTGCAGTTTTTTTTTACTGTGTGGGCATCGGAACGAGCCCCTGCACCGTGAGAACAAACATCTCACTTCTAAAGCCGATCTTCATCTGCATAAGTCACACATCACGTGATCAGGAAGCAGAAAATCCATGTGTTAGGAGATCGTTTTGAGCCACTGCTGTAAAAAAAAGTGAGGCGCAAACTGGAAAAGCTTCTGATCACAATTCAACAACGGATTATGAAAGATCGGATAACGCTCGAAACACGCAGATTCTTCCTGATGTAAGAGGTGAGTTTCTGCTTTGTTTTGGTGTCGACATCATCCTAGCGTGCAACGTTCTGTGACTCTTAAAAAAACAGTAAAAACGTTGAGAAATGCTGGCAGCGAAGGGCTTTACCGATCAGGAAACAGCCGGCAGCGAATGAGTTAAAAGTTATTGTAGTCATGGGAATTTTCACCATGTTAACCATCAATATTAGTAACCATTTCATTCTAAGAAATGTTCAATTTCAAGATGTTCAATTAAACGGGAAGCGTAGAAATCTTTCTCCTGCTACTCCCAGACTTCTGCCAAACTAAATTGAAATGATTGACATGAGTAAAATTAACCCACTAAAATGTGTGTAATAGAAATAAATCAATCCTATGTAATAATTAGGGATGTGTATTGATGAAATTCAGGTGATATGATACGTATCATTATACGGGGAGACGATATAGCACAATATATTGTGATACATTCACTCAGACGTTATTAGCGATTTTTTATTTTTACTGAATTTATTGTAGAAATATTCCATTAACAGTCCAAACTGATGCATGACTGTTTAACATGAGGTATCCGAACCGTAATAGAGGGATTTACATTTCAATGGTGGAAACAAAACCCATTGCACACTACTGCCAACTAGCGGTCAGTGTTTCAATTGCGCCAAAAAGAAAGAAAATACTCCCAAAGTTGTAAATGTAATGATGTAAATTCCTCCAAAAATTTGATACACAGCTTTTGAATATTGATGTAATATCGCAGGAAAAAAATATCATGATGTATTGCCATATTGATATTTTCGATACACAGCTTTTGAATTTCGATACATCGCTGGGAGAAAAAAAATCACGATATATTACCCTATCGATATTTTCTTAAATCCCTAAAATGACTGCTTTAGCTGTAAAACCACAAGAAAAAACGTTCATGTTAGATCTGATTTAAGCATCTTGTTCTGATGAGCAGATAAATAGGAGTTGTACTGAAACAGCAGAACATAAAACCACAGTCCCTTATACTTGTCCTGGTCTCAACCTGGACTATTTATTATACCCGAGGATTTCATCTTCACTTTAATTCATTTTAACAGAGTTCTGATTTGCTATCAAATACTCTCCATCTGGATTCAGTCAGCATATTCACATACACACCAGAAAAATAAATAATCTGAACTATGTTTTTTTATGAACATTGCTGGCATCTATAGTCCTCCTACAACGTTATTTTAGTCTGAAACTATTTTTCTCTGCCTCCCCTGTTGACTTATTCCCATGAACAGGATCAATCATCAGTGATAGCTGCAGGCAAAGGACAGCTTGTAGTGCACCATATCCATGGTACTGGTGGTGGTACCAATACACACCTCTTTCACATTAACAGATCCACTAATAGTCTATTCAGATAACTTCAGGCTGCATTAATGCATGCATCTTGCTTTACTTTTATAAGTAAAGAATTTCTAGTCATTTCCTTGTATGTACCTGTTGTACGCATCTTACCATTATGCAATATAAGAGGAAAGAGAAGGAGCAAAATAAGAAATATATCTCCAAATTTAGGACTAACTAAAATTATGTAAAAAAAACATCCATCAAAAACCTGACATGAGACATAATTGTACGTTCTCCCGAGTTTTTTACAAAACACCTAAAGCTAAAATTTAATTTTCAACATGTCAAATTACAACATTTTTAATAAAAAATGAATCAGGAACGAGTAGTTCTTTATGATAGCCCAACAAAACAAAAGCCTCAACATAAGATTTTTAACTTAAGTTTCTGCCAAATTTATTGATGCATCTTTGGTTCATCCTTTGAGTTAGGGGAGAGAGGGAGCGCGGGGGGTTGAGAAAACAAGAACAGAGTGAAAAGATCTTCAGATAGGACTAATCAAAAGTAAGTTCAAGAGAATTACAATAAAACCTGAATAATGCAAAGGAAAACAACACTGTTGCACAGAATCCATGTGCGCATGTTTAGATCTACACAAAAGTTGGTAAAAGGTGAGAAAACACACAATAATCTGTTTGATAAAGTCTTGACAAGGTCTGTCTGGTTTGTTAACCTTTTGTACACTCGTTATCATGGAGGCTACATATGATAAGACACTTTTTCTGTGAGTGACAGAAACTTACATCCCACACTCGAAACAGTCAAAGGCGCTGAGGCTTGGTTATGGGGACTTTAACTAGCAACCAGATCTCATGTAGTGATGGTTTTCATAAATAGCTAGCTGTTGTTAGCTATAAACTAGCCTGGCGGTTTGTTGAAGCTGGCTAATATTTAACTCGCGGAAGCGCTCTCTTCGCGGTTTCTCATTCACGCTGACTGATCATTAAACAAAGTGAAGCCGGCTGATGTTGAAACTGCCAGATAAAAACTGTATTTGTCTTCGGCAGCTAAAGACTGAATGGCAACAGGAGCGAAGCTAGCACTCTAAAACCACACAGACTTGATGTAAAGAAAATAGCACACATTTCAAGAAGAAAAGCCCAAGACTTGACATACTCACGTATGAAATGCATTAAGGCATATCCTTCTTCAGCATGTAACTAAACAACTGTGCACAAAAAACAGCAAGTAAACGTCCAAAGCAGGATCGATTTCTACGTCGCTACTTCCTGCTGTTGACTACAAATCCCAGAAAACCTAGTATTAACCAATCAGATCGGCCGTTGATGGTTGATGACGCATGATATCCGTACGCTCCAGAAAACAGGAGAGAGTAGTGAGAGATGCATCACTCATGCATTGATAAACATATTCCCTTGACTAAAACGACACAACCAAATGGAAACTAACCATGTCCATCATTTAATTTTTTTTATTGTTCTTAGTTATATTTATTTTTTAAGTCAACTAGCCTACCTAACAGCTTCACTCGTTTATTGTACAGCACTTTGGTTAGCTATATACTGGTATGGTGGTAAGTGGATATTTTTAGAAACTATATTTGACTTATATTGTAATAAAAATAAAAATCAATTGCAATAGACTTTTATCAAAACTTGCCAAACAATATATTAACTTATATTAAAAATCTGAAAAATAACTTCTGAAAAAGGAATTAGCTAAAATCTTTTTTAAAAAATTATGATTTTTTTCCCAGTTTGCACCATTAAAGCATGCTTTTGCCTCAAGTTTTTCTTTAATATTTTTCAGTCATTTTGTTTTGGCACAAAAACGTCATCCTGAGCTTCACAAAAGAAAACATCTGCATAATCGCAGCAATGGGAGAAAAACTAACCATTACACAACTTACAGAAAATGGGACAACATAATGGATGCATGGACGTATTTGTCTAAGAAATATTTCCACGTTTACATTAGTTTTTTTGTCTCTTTTCACAAATCTTTATTGTAAATTCAATAATTCCAAATAACATCTCAAGATACAACAAATAGGAATGATTTCTGAAGAGAAAGGATAAATTATTTTATTCCGTCATCAGAGAATCTAAAGATACACCTAAAACACTTAAATGACATGTTTTTGCAAAATAATTTTTATTTTAAAGCACTTTAATTGAACAAATTCTTCCAAAAATGCTGACCTTCATTTTTTAACGTGCAATTGTAAAATAATTTTTTTTTTGACAGAATGGGTTGATTGAAAATCAATATAGAGTTGATTTGTGTAACTTTTTCAAGGCAAGAGGAAAACAAGATGAAGTTACAGAACGTGCCTGTGTTGATGTGCATGCTGGGATCTCTGTACTCTATTGATTACAGGTGATTGTGGTGGGTGCTTGTAGGAAGGTTCCACAATGTCCTGAAATCTAAGAAAATCGTGAAGTGAGGAAGGAACTGGCAGCTTCTGGACTATGCTGGTCCTCATCAGTAGATCTGGTCCCAAAACTTGTCTGATCTTCAGCCGGCAGATGTGGGACAGACTGGGAATTGAATCTAAAGGTAGATGAAGAGGAAATACCAGTCAGCTTATATTTAAAAATCAAAATACAAAATAAACTGCACTATTGTACCTAAATTTGTGGATGGTCTCCAGGTCATTTTTGTTTGTCTTTGATTCAAAATCAGTTTCAAAGGAGGGGACAAAGTTGACCAGTTTACAAACTCAAGCAGGTAATTCAACACCTCACTCTCAGCCTTTTCCAACCTGGAGGAGAAAGAAAACTTATTCAAACACAGATACAGACGTGGACAAAACTGTTCGGTCAATGGAAAAAAAAGCCACAATGGTCACAGAAATAACTTGATTCTGACAAAATTAATAAAATGAAAATTCTATGTGATTTAACCAATGAAAGTCAGGCTTTGCTTTTCTACCATGCTTCAACTGAATTATAAAAAAATGAAACTCATGGAACAGGCCTGAACAAAAATGATGGTACCCCTAGCTTAATGTTTTGTTGCACAACCTTTTGAGGCAATCACTGCAATCAATCAATTCCTATAGGATACGTCTGCACCTCTTAGCAGGTATTTTGGCCCACTCCTCATGAACAAACTGCTCCAGTTGTCTCAGGTTTGAAGGAAGCCTTTCCCAGACAACATGTTTCAGCTCCTTTCAAACATGCTAAATACATTTGATCTCAGGGCTCATAGAAGGCCGCTTTACAACAGTCCAATGTTTTCCTCCTAGCTGCTCTTGGGTGTTGTCATTGTCCTGTTGCAAGACCCATGACCCATGAGTCTGTGACTGAGACCAAGCTTTCTGACACTGGCCAGCACATTTCTCTCTAGAATCCCTTGATAGTCTTTGAGATTTCATTGAACCCTGCACAGATTCAGGACACCCTGTGTCAGATGCAGCAAAGCAGCCCCAGAGCACAACAGAGCCTCCTCCATGTTTCACAGTAGGAACAGTGTTCTTTTCTTGATATGCTTCATTTTTCCATCTGTGAACATAGAGCTGATGTGCCTTAGTAAAAAGTTCTATTTTTGTCTAATCTGTCCACAGGACATTCTCTCAGAAACGTTGTGGCTTGTTAACATGTAGTTTGGCATATTCCAGACTTTTTTATGATTTGTTTTCAACAGTGGTGTCCTCTTTGGTCGTCTCCCATGTAGTCCACTTTGGATCAAACAACAACGGATGGTGCAATCTGATACTGATATTCCTTGAGCTTAAAGTTCTGCTTGGATCTCTTTAGATGCTTTTCTGGGCTCTTTTGTTACCATTCAGATTTTTCGTCTCTTTGATTTGTCATCGATTGTCCTCCTTCAGCCACGTCCATGGACGATGGCTACAGTCCCATGGATCTGAAGTTTCTGAATAATATGTGCAACTGTAGTCACGGGAACATCTAGCTGCTTGGAGATCGTCTTATAGCCTTTACCTTCAACATGCTTGCCTATAATTTCCTTTCTAATCTCCTGAGACTTCCTCTGATCCATGTTGAGTGAGGTACACACCATGTCACTAAACAACACAGTGACTACCTGTTTTTTTTTTTTTTTTTTTTTTTTAAATAATGCTGTTGAAGCATGGTTGAAAAGCAATGTCTGACTTTATTTGGTTGAATTTCATAGAAATTTTATTTATTATTATTGTCAGATTCAAGTATTTTCTGTGATCATTTTGGGTTTTTCTTCCATTGACTGCAGGGCACCAACTATTATGTCCACGTCTTTATGGGAAAAGGTAAACACATAAGACTGAGAGATCATGTTGGAAACCTACATGTGGGGGTGGAGCAGTAAACAACATGGATCCAATCCGGTCCTCAGAAGTACAGGAAGCCACCGGGAAGCAAAATGTACTTGGCTTAGAGCCACACAGAGCAGTTCCCTCACTTCTTGCAGCTTGAACAGCAGCTTCCCCTGACGATGCGATGCAGAGTAGTTTGTGGTTAAAGTCTCGGGGCGAGGGATCCACCTGTGTTCAAGAATCAGCTCCAGCAGGTCTGTTGTGTCTGTGGCTAAGGCATAAGTCCATTCCTCTGAGCTCAGAGATGCTCCTGCAGCAAGCAGCAGCTTTAGTGACTCACTGAATAAAACATGAAAGGATTATGTTTCAGATTTTGTTTGTTCCAGTAAAGAAAAAGCCATGGTGGAGCTACAGTCATGAACAAATAAACATACATTTTCTACCCTAAAGGGTTTTAATTTCCACATACAATAAAAACAAATCATATTTTTCAAGTCAGACCCTAAAAAGCAGGTTCAAGTAGAACTGCAACAACGTGTAACTATTATCAACATGTGAGAAAGAAAAAATTCATATCATACTAGGTTCTTCACATTAAACAGAATACACAAACAGAGCAGGTTTTCTGTTCTAGAGGAGCTTTGACCCAGTCTTCTTTCTAATAATGATACCATTTATTGAGTTTTGCAGACATTAATGTCTCTCATAGCCCTGGATCTGGTCTGAGCTTTAAGTGGACCATAAGGCACCTTGATTCTAGTCGGCCACACTGCCAAGTTTATTTTAGAGCAAATAGATTTTCTCCTGCAACCCCTCAAACAAGCCAATCCTTAATGAATCTTTTTCTAATCACCTTATCAAATGTGTTAACATTTGACCCTTTAAAGCCTAAAATTAAATCGCAATAATTCAAAACATTTTTTTTAACAATTATTAATATAGCATCCTTACAACAACCAGTTTATTTTGTTATGTCATTATAACACAACAGCAATAAAACAATAAAAATAGGTCCTTACAACCTGTAGATCAGATAAGGTGCTCACAGGTCTTTTATCCAAATAGCAAAAATCTAAAATAACATTTTTAAAATCTGCTGCCATTTCTTTAAATCAGAAATGCATTTATAAATAGTTTAAAACTCCAATTTTCTTTGAAAACATTCAAATATGTTTATTATATACTAGGCTTAGTTTAACTCTGATTTATTCTAGTTCAACGATCACTATTGTATCAACATAGTAGCCCTTCACGTGGCTCATTACCCACAAAGTAGCTCTCAGCCTCACGAAGGTTGGTGACCATAGCCTGGCCTGCCAGACTCATCCTCTGTTTAATTCTACACAGAGAACTTCCCATCAGGAAGGTTGGGGCTGGCTGGTCAGGCTATGGTGACCCCTGCTGTAGATCCTCCACCAGAGGGCAGCACAGACATGTACAGAACTGAATGTGACAGGCTTGTAATGAAAGTATTGATCCCTAACACTCATATGGGTCAGAGTGGCTTGATGAGAATTTGCAACAATAATCTTCAATGTGTTAATAGCTGTGGCCCTAGATTGAGAGCTATTGAGAACATAGAATATTTTATTTGTTGTCTGATACATAAAACCTAGCCTGTTCAATTGTCTATATTCAATTTAACATGACTGTGCAATAGTTGAATATTACCTAAATATAAAGTATTACTTAATTGATTCTGGTAAAAATATTTGTACGGGTGAAATGAGCCCACCCACCTGCGCGGTTTGCTGGTTGCATTAAATAAAGCCACAGAAAGGGGTGAATAGAAGCCCAGATTGTTTATGCACTCCTGAGCGTCTGGGCTATAGCCTTCCTTCAGGAGCAACTCCACGCTGCCAGTCTGATCGCTGTGGACGGCGGTGTACAGCGGGCTCACCATACCATCGCTTTGGTCACACACTCGATCAGTGACGTCTATCAGCCTCCTGAGAATACTGGATTTACAAAATAGAAGATAGTTAATATAATAATGAACCACAGGGATAAATCCTGATAGGGCGTCACACTTTCCAAAGAGAAATACTAACACAATGAAGTCCTCATACTAGGACACGTAGTGTACCTGATGTGGCCGAACTGAGCTGCAGCATGAATGGGAAACTGGGGCCACTCCTGACTGCAGGATACATTTGGATCAGCACCATGGTCCAACAGAAGATCCACACAAGCCTGGTGGCCCTCCTGAGAGGCAATTAGCAGCGGTGTCGCCAGATCGGCTGCCTGGGTGTTCACATTGGCCCCTGAGGAGGAAACCACATGAATGCTTTGATTACTGATTTAAGACAAACTACAAGAAAGCTACTGTTATTTGGTTTAACACGTCTGCATTAGACAATTAGGTAGAGCAGGCCGCCCAGAAATCAGAAGGTTGCTGGAGCGATCTCCCTGGTCCCTCCAGGGAATTTTGCTTATGTCCTTGGGCAAGACACTTCACTCTCCTTGCCTGCTGGTGGTGGTCGGAGGAGCCAGTGGTGCCTGTGTACGGCACCCTCACCTCTGTCAGTGTGTCCCAGGGCAGCTGTGGCTACAATGTAGCTCATCATCATCAGCGTGTGAAGGGATGAATGATTCACTGTATTGTGAAGCACACTGGAGTCCTCTGACTCAGAGAAGTGCTACACAAGTGCAGCTCATTTATCCAGTGCAGTTTAAATCCCCATAACATGATCAGCTTATCCTTCACATAGATGTTCAGACAGATAGACTACGGATTACAAAGAAATAATATTTTTTAAATCATTTATTTCCCTTTAATGCCTGAAAAATAACACTTACATTTAAAAATAATTGAACAGTTTTAAAGTGTGTCCATCCTTCGTCATACCCAGTGTTGGGAGTAACGCCGTTTAAGTATAACGGCGTTTCTAACGGCGTTCTTTTATAGGTAACGGAATAATCTAATTAATTACTTTTCCCGCCGTTGCAACGCCGTTACCGTTACTGGGGACGGAAGGTTGTGCGTTACTATGTGCTTGTCGAACGTTGAGCAGCAGCGTGAGGCTTTCTGACCGCCACACTTCAGCTGCAGCCAGGGAGAGAGAGGTGTCGGTAACGCACTTACAAACACGATGATGATTGGCCGGGTGGGCGGAGACCCTCACTGTCTCAGTCACTGCCTGCTGTAGACACAACGGGAATAACTCCGTTTAAAATAACCGCGTCAATAAAAAATATTTCTTTCTGTAACGAGCAAACTAATTAATTACGTCTTCTTTTAACAAAACGTCGTTTCTGTTACTGATAAGAAAAAGCGTGCATTAAGCAGCGCGGTGTATTGAAGCTGTCATCAGCTGATCAGGAGCTAAAGAGGTAGATGTTTAAGAGCATCACGGCCCGTGAAGAACGAGGAAGACGTGATGAATATTCTACGGCTGCAGACCCCCCGCAGATTTGTTGCTGCAGCAGCGAATCTGCGGGTCTGCAGCCGTGCCCTTAGCATGACAGCGGGACGTCCCGAAAGTCCGCTCACCTGTTCACCGCTCAGACGTCCTGATCTTCTACCTTCCTAGATCATCCAGCTGTAACCTGTTTCTGATCATATCTTTAGTCCCGCTAACACTGATGCATCAGTCTCAGTTGAACTACCTGTGTGTGTTTACCACCCAGCTTCAGCTCTTCTGTGTTTGGGTCTGACCCAAGTTAGTGAATGTAAGTCCTCCATCAGATCTGTGCCTCTTCTAGTGTCATTTTAAAGGATACTTATTTATTTATTTAACCATTACTAAATTACCAGCAACAGAAATGCTAGTAAAAACACACAATTATGTGAAGCTGGAAAAATTAGAATACTGTGCAAAATTACATTTATTTCTGTAATTTAACTAGACTGAGAGACCATTTAAAGGCTCGGGAACCTTTACAGGCGTTTCTATTTGCAATTTTAAATTTTAGCTGATTGGGTTTTTGTTAAATATCACACAGTGACCTTTTAATAGTCTAGATTAGTGTAATGTTCCTATTAGTAGTTCCTCCTGTTAAGTGCTTATTTGTTTAAATTATTCAGGTTTATATAAAACATTTGGACATTTTATTATGTTCAGTCATTAGTCATTTATATTTTACTATTGTAGTAATTCTTGCATTCTTTAATGAAAAAAGTAACTAAGTCGTTACTTTTGTTGGTAATTAGTTACTTTTATGATCTTGTAACTCAGTTAGTAACTGAGTTACTTTTTTGACAAAGTAATCAGTAACTATAACTAATTACTTTTTAAAGTAACGTTCCCAACACTGGTCATACCAGCTTTAAATGAATACTAATTAATTCATAGCATATAGAAAATATAATTTACTATAAACAATAATGTAATTATATAATTTGTGTGAAAAACTGTTACAACAAATCCCTCTTACAAAACCTCATTAGGTTTTTAGAATTTAAATGCCTCCTTTGTGGTTACAATTACTTTAAACTGTTGGGTTAAATTAGTGTGACACATTCAGGCTCCATAAATAAATATTAGTTTGACAACAGGTGGGTCAGCTGAAAAATCAACTGATGATTTCATACTTAAAAATATGTGCATGTTAACTGTAACTATAAATAAAGTGCACATACACAGACATTATTAAAAAAATACAATAATTTACCTGCTTTAATTAGTATCTCCAAACATTCACTCTGTCCATACTGTGCAGCCACAAACAGGGCAGTGATCTTGTGGTCATCTAGTGCCTCCAAGTTGCAAAACTGAGCAAGAACTCGAACCATATCACTGTGACCCTGAGAATGGTAAAACATTTTCATTAGGAGTGCATAGTGATGGTTAGTTATTATTAGTGAATCTTACACTTCACCTTGTAAACAGCTTGATGAAGGCAGGTCCAGCAGGATGATGTGTGTGTTCTGTTGACTTCTGCACCTTTACCGACCAACAGTTTAACAACATCTTCATGCCCATTGTCTACAGCTGGAGAAACAAAACAAATTCCATTTTATTAATATCCAACTAAATAAATATATTTTGATGCTTACTGTATGTGGGTGGCAGCATTTGCATAGATTAAAATGGATAAATGATCTACCAGCATATAAAGGACAGGACAGGTCATTAGTCAGCTGGTTAATGTCGGCATGTGCTTTCAGGAGGAGTCGAACCACTGCCAGGTGACCTCTCTGCGCTGCCAAGTAACACGCAGATTCTCCCTCATGAGTCAAAGAGTTCACAAAATCACGACTTCTAGAGAAACATCCTACACACAGAGAGATGGGTGGACACCATAGAATGAGAAATCAACATGAAATGCAGACCTGACTCTAAAATCTGATCACAACCCACTTTTGGTGAAAATAACACAATAACCTGATGCATCAGTCTGCATTCATTTCAACACAGAGCCCAAGCTATGCGTGTCAGTTATGAACAATTAAAACATAGTAACTCTAATCAAGTACATAGTCACAGGTGAAGCCAGCAGAAGCTCAAATTCAGCAACTTTAGAGAAATTTGGATGAAATCACTTTCAAATACATTTTTTGTCTAACAATCAGTTTCCTCTTGAGTTTTATGTCAGAGTGGCTGTGCAAAAACACCAAATTATATCTGTTGAACGTTGCCATTTTATTAACTTTAGCGAATAAGAAAAAAAAGCTACCATACCTTTCTTACAATTAACGGCAGATAATATTTCCAGCACACACTCCTTACTGCCAGCAGCAGACGCCTCATGCAGAGCATTCCAGCCGCGGTTATCTCGAGCATCCACACTGAACCCTCTCTCCATCAGCCTCCTCAGCTGTCTTCTGCTGCCTGAACGGGCGGCAGCAGCAACACGGGACACCGTGTCTGCGTAGCACTCTGTGAAGTCCATTCTCTGCTTTAGAAAACAGGCAGTTTTTCAAAAGTGTGAAAATGAATGAAAGAGAAGAAGAAGAAAAGAGAAAGCTAAAGTCCTTCAGAGACCCTGAAGTTAAGCTACCCTAGCTTAGACAGTGTTGAAATGACCACTTAAATCACAATAGTTCACATTTGTTGTTAGAATTAAAGAATAATATATAACACGATTGGTTGAATCTATTTTGGACTGAAAGCATCAAACACAAGGTAATAACAAAACAACATAGTTTATCAAGGCTACACTAACTGAGCATCTTTTACTCAAAAACACGTCTACTTAATGTGCAATAATACTCGCTAAATTCATTGGGTTGTTAAAAATAAAGGAATTTTCTTACCAAAACAAAAGTGCTGGTGGGTGGACTGAGTCGCTGGTTGATGACGTACCTTTTTTTCCGTCGCGTGGTACAGCGTCACAAATGCTTCAGATTACTTAGGTAAATTTTCAGTTTATTTTTGTTATTTCTCTCTGAAAGCTCGGCCCAGGGACGCTTTTAATCACGCCTGGAGACATGAGAGGAAGGAAAGCCTGACTGAAGCCGATTTTGTCTCAGCTGACGCAGTTTTACTGTAAACAGCCCGTTATTGTTAACGTTAATGTTAGCTAGCTGCATGATGAAGGAACTAAAATCTGGTTCAGTTCTGCTTTTGTTTAGAAGTAGAGATAAAACTGCAACCCTTCAAATGCTCTTACAGCATTTTGGTGCTTTTTTCATTCTGGGGAGCAACTTGTTATTTTCCGTTTTAAAAAAATGTATTTCATTCAACCACATTATTTCTGGCCAGCGTATGTAAATCACTTCGTGTTTATTCAGATAACGCCACATTAATAAGAAAGATAATATTATAAGCAGCTTGTATTCAGGCACTCATTTGATTATGTCCTTGAATAAAGGGCTAACTAAACGCTGCTGAATCTAATTTTTCTAAACTGTCTAACATTTCCTTCACAATCCCTACATATACTCTGTTATTATTTGGACTTAATGCAGAATATTTCTCAGTTGTGTCTTTTTTCTCTTGTGCTTAAGGTAACATCCCACCTGCAGCCCCACCGGTAGCATCATGGTGGACATCAGTGTAAAAAGAGCAGCTGCTTGGGTGTGTCAGACTCATGACCTGGCAGATATCCTTCTTCCTGTTCATCTCAGCACAAAAGACAGCGAAGACGAAGATCTTAGTCTGACAGAGAAAGAAGAGACTGACAGGTTGGAAGCCTTTTATCAAGGCAACATGTGTATTTCTGGGTGTGCAGGCTTTCTTTTGCAAGCAAATGTGTTTCTACCAGCAGAGGATGGAAAGATTGATGTTTGCCATGAATGGTGCTTTATCCTTTTGCGATCTTTGCAGGGTTGTTTCTGCGCAGTTGGAGCAGGTGGAGGAAGGATCGCCCTGCATCCTCACTCTCAGCTGCAGGTCCAGCTCTGATACCATCAGCCGCCTGATGGTCGTCAGCGAGGCTCGAACCATGGAGGTGTACAACCAGATGGAAGAATACTGCGGGACAGTGCGAGGCATAAAGGATAAAACAATCCAGCTTGGGTAGATGAACCCACACTGAAATATTAGCAAGCAGAACACTGTGCAGCTGTTTAAATGACCACTTCAGATTTTACAGCTATATCCCCTTTCTAGGGGGTATATTAATTTTTATACATCTCAAAGGGTTTGTGAAATCTTAGATATCTAATATTTATGCTCATGTTCTCTAAAGAGACCCCTGAAAATACAGCCTAACAAGCCTTCAAAAGATATTGTAGTATTTTTTGAGTTTGTCAACTAATTGATGATCTCTGTTCCTGTGGATCACAGTGAAGACAGAGGTCCTGTTTACAGGAAGCAGCTGATCCTTGAGCATCCATCATCAGCTTGTGAAGTGAAGGTGAGACGTGCCAAAATTAAGATTCTGCATCAGTACAGTGTTTTTATGTATTAGAATAGACTTCATTGATCCCACAGTAGGGAAATTCACTTGTTACAGCAGCACCAACACTTAAGAGAATCATTTGAAGAAAAATAATAACAAAGGTACATTTATATACACATATTGTAACCTTCAACCACTAAAAACCACAAATAAAAATGAAAAATTTGGGTTCCAGAACTATGCAGCATATTGTAAGGGACACAGACATACTATATAAATCAGGTATTGCACAAGTACTGAACATAGTTTTACATTATCCTAAAGAAAATTTGGATTGAGCAATATTTTAATTTAATTTTTAAATAAGTTTGATTTGATTCTTAAACTGGCTCTGCATTTCTCTGGCTGCTTTCCCAGTTGCTGTCCCTAGCAGGCAGAAGTAGTGTTGTGGTGTGTCGTGTTGTTGTGGGCCTTCAGGAGCTTCAGCCTGCCCCGGCTCATGGCCCTGGTATAGACCTGCAGCAGGTGCAGTGTCTGGTTGAAGAAATGGGAACAAGTTTGTCTCCTGGAGCCCAAAACCTCCTGGATATGGTGCAGTTCCAGCAGAAGGTGGGAGACTGACCCTCTCTGAGCTCATGGTACCACTTTGGCTCTGTCCTCTTTGATGTGTTGATTCCTGCCTGCTAAACTGACATCCTTCTTAAAAACATTTTACAGTTACATCAGCTTTGATACTCAGATCAATGAAAAATCAGGGAATAATACAAAAAAAGAGCTGCGTTGAAACAGAAATGTGTTTTTCCAGAATCAGATGAGCTCTCTGAGTGGGTTCCTGCCTCTTCTGATGGGTGGTGGAGCTTTGTCTGCCTTAGCTGGAGGAACCGGAGCATCTACGTCAGCTCTCAGGAATTCTCCTCAGCCATCAGGCTTCCTGGTATGGGTGCTGATTGTTTTTTATTACCTGAAAAACTCTTGATCTCTCACTGGAACTGAAATTACATCCTTTCATCATTCACTGTTACTAATTTTTTCAGGCTAATATTCTGTTTAAATGACTTTTATTATTATTTATATTAGAACGGTTATGTTCTGGCTAAGTCTTATGATCCAGGACATACATAATCAACGGAAGAGGGTTTAAAAGGAGAAACAAAATTTATTTTTGTAAAGGAGAACTAAGGGAGTGCTGTCAAAGTGAGGCGAGGGTCTGTACAGGCACGTGACATGGTGGTCAATTTAGTGGAGGGATGACTGAAGCTGGAGAGGGAGGTGGTCAGGCCTGAGGAGGGTTCAGGCTCGAGAGAGGTTCTCTGTAGAGGAGGCGAGTGCAGGGTGAGTGGTGGAGAGCGGGTCGGTCTGGCCAGGCAGGGAGGACGTGGTCCAGAGAGGAGGTCTGTCTGGTTATGGTTGGAGAGCTGGTAGTGGAAAAGGGTACCTGGAGACAGGAAGAGGGGTTAGGGACTCGAGAGGCTAGAGTGGAGCAAAACAGGTTGCGTTGGCACACAATCTCAGGTTGAGCAATACCCAAAGTGAGTCATCATCCGGCGAGGTGGGGTTGTCTCCCTGCTCCTTATAAGCACAGACCGGTGATTGAGAATCTGCTGCAGCTGCCCGACCCTCGGCTCCACCCACCTGCAATCGAGCACTCACACAGGTTATGGTAGAACCACTCACCTCAGATCCTCCTGACAAGAATGTCTTGATGACATTTGCATCCAGTCATTGATGGAAAATGAAATAGAAAAAAACATTTTAACCAACTGATTCAGTTTTGTTTTTCATTTAGAAAGATTATTTTACTGAAGCTTTATCAAAATTATTTTGCATCTGCTGCTTTTGTTTCTCTCTTCTTGTAAGAACATCTGTGTGGGCAAAGTACAAAAGTCAGTATTCACCATGATTCATTAATGGAGAAACTGGTTCATCCTTTTTGTTTGGAAGAATTTTTTCCGGAATGTTTCAGAGTTTCTTGGCTTTCTTGGTACAAAGCTGCCAAAGTCAAAAGCACAGCTTTGAGACATCTTCAGGCACGGTACTGAACTATAGATATGACTTGAGCTGCTCAGATCTCAGGTTCTGAAATAAGTTTCTGTTTTGAAATGAACCTGGTTTGTCGTTTTCCAACTCTGCCAGAAAGGAAACCACTGTACTGTTTCTATCAGTAATTACAAGTACAACACATTATAACATTTGAATTTCAGAAGCTAAATTTTGATCTTCAGAAGTCAGAGTAAAGATTTCTGGTAACCATTTAAAGTTTGATGAATGAAATTAAAGTCAGAAAATATTGTTTTTATTTAATTAAAATACCTATGATGTGATTGATTACTAAAATTAAGGTAGTTGTATAACTAAATAGAAAAAAATTGGCAATTGCTACCTCCAGTATTTAGACCCTCTATCAGAGGGCAGGAAAGATGTATAGTTTTATTCAGCTACTTTTTGATTAACATCAATCTGTTTAATGACTGAGCTGCAGGTTTCTAAGATATAAGATTTTCTGACATTCTAAATAAAAGCAGCAGCAGCCAGTAATGTGTACTCAACAGATTTTAAATTTGTCAGTGAAGCTCTGCAGCTGCTTAAATTTAACTTAACAAATTCACAATCTGGGATACTTAACAACTTTTTCGTGTTTTTAAATGATTTTCTTGAGCCAGTATGTGCTAAAATGAGCTTTTACAGGGTTAATGACTAGCCACCCAGACCATAATGCTCCCTGGGGCCATGATATTCCACTTGCAACTTCAGAGTTACCGGTCTGGTCTGTTGGACTTAGAAACAATTGAGTTGACATACCTGGTGCTGCAGTCTGGTTCCAGCATGTTCCTGCATGTTTTAGATAGCACAGCTGATTGGTTTAATGTAGTGATGAATCACTCCTGTAGACACTATTGAAGGCTGTGGAGACATTTCAGCTGTTAGATGAAGGTGTTACAGTGACCAACGGTTTTGTTTTTTGTTCTGCTAACTGACACGAGGGGGTGCTAAAAGCAAGCCAAAACTGCAGAGTTATCCCTTTAAATGCACACAGAACTTTGTCTTGTTATTGTAATATAAATGAAATGTTTTGACTATTTTTCTGTCTGTAGTCCCCAGACTGCATCAGGCCTGCAGACTTACCTGCAGCTCAGAACGGAGGGATGTCTGAGGGCTCTACATCTCCAGACCTCTCCCTGTCCGACCTCAGCACCAACAATACATGTAGGTATCATCACATTGGTTATGATGCTTCGTAATGCAATAAGGTGGAGAGTTTAACATTTTCGACACAAGTCACACATTAGGATGCAGAAAAAGACGAGGATGTATCCACGTCAAAAAAGCGTTTGATCTTTCACCCTGAAAAATAAATCAAATCTAATATTTCTGCGCCATGTACAACATTCTTACAAAATCAGTAATATTTTACCTAGACCCGAATTTTGCTTTACTATGTAACAACATAAGCATCTAAATATCTTGGAAACAATAAAGGAAAGGTAAAGACAGAATTATCTAGTGTAGCGTTTAAATTTACATATTATTTAATGAACCATAAAATGTGAGATTCCATAGGAAAAATGAAATCAATCTTATGGATCTTTGGATAATTTAAACCAGAAGATTGGAACTTTTTATTGCAGGGATTATGTAACCACTTCGTATTAACTCAGAGACAAAAGAAAGAGTCAAGTTTTAAAGTTAAGAAGATTTATTACTACACAATTTAAGACTAGACTAACTTTAAATACTAGGTGTATGGTGTAACTAAGGCGAAGTAAGACTGAGGATGGTGTATGTGTGAAATATGTTCAGAACCAACAAATCCGGAGAAACGATTAGTTCTGATGGGAGTGAAGATGATGTTTTCGCTCTAAGCTTTAGGTTGGAGATTATAACACACTTTGGGACGCCATTCTGTCGGTCTACGTACCCTTTGCGGAAGTCCCCGTTAGATCAGGAATGTCGAGGTCCAGATTGACCTTCTCTGGAACCGAAGCTGGTAGAAAGGCAGCGGTTGCCGACCAGACCAGTCTTGAGATACTTCCGGGTCACGACAGTTTATTGGCATCTAGCGAGACCCAAAAAGGGGTCGTGATGGTTCAGCTTTTATTCTGAAAGGAACCGTTGCAGCAGGTGGAACAGCAACAGATTTAATCCAGCTTGTCGTTAAGTTCTTTTGGCTTTAAGAGGAAAGTTACGGATGGCCACTCCGATAACTTTTCTAGAACGCTTTGAACTGAAGTTAAGATGACGTGGGCATAGTTTTATGATGTGGATGTTTTGATTTACGGTCAAATCATAAAAGGACAACAAGAGGGGATGTACCAAGCACCAACAAAACCACGCCTCGTGTCAGATCTGGAAGGTTCTGATTGGATCAGAAAAAGGAAATGTGTCATGTGACTTTAAGCATTACGTGGATGAGAATGTCTAGTGCAGCAAGTTTAAAGTTATATTACTTATTAAAATACTACTGATCATAAACATTGTCATTTCACAGATTGGTTCACATTTTATTATTGGGCTAACACTTTGTTTGATTAGCTTATTAAAAATAGAGAAAGAGTTCTTTGATTTATTAATATTTAAAGGGAAAGAGTTCTGTCTTCTTCCTTCTTTCTTGTGCTGTTCGGAGAAGCAACAGTTTAGATAAAAGCAAAGCGTGAGTGGCCTTGGCCCATATCTTGTGGAATAGGCCTGTGCCAGTAACTTATGGTTTTGCTTGGGCAGAGCAAATAGAGCAGGGTCTTTTAGGTCCGAAATGGACAATTCATCACGCTATACTAAAAATAAATTCCTGAACCAAAATTCAGATTTTACTTAAAAACTCGTCATCAAGCATTCTTCATGTGAAAGCTGTCGGAAAAGTGCCTGAATATGTCTAAGTCACTGTTTGTTTTCTATCGTTTACATGCGCACAGAAAGTGTTTTTATGTAGAAGAAGAAAAAAATATTTCTATATCGCCTCTCAAGATAAAAATCACGAGGCGCTTAAGTAATGTAAGCTGGTTAATGAGTTAGGTTTTTGGATGTCTCTTCTTCAGGGGTCTGTAACCTACAGCTCTGGAGCCACATGTGGCTCTTCAGCCCTGATGTAGCTTCTTGTAGAACAACAACTTGAACCTGAGTTATTTTTACATTTAAACAACAGTAGGAAATGGGAATGTTCCAGTTTTCTAGAATGTTTTTACATAATTCACATTAATTCTCTGCAGCAGAATGATGCGGGAAGGTTGATCTGCCTGTGGGAACTGCGTTAACAAAAATCTAGTGCATTAGTTATTATAGATGCCGTGTCACACAGCTTTCAGGACAAGAATTAGCTACAATAGCTTCACTTTTTACCTCCCCTCCTTGTTCAAGCTTTGTTCTGGGATGAATTTTCTCCCTTTTAACTTTTTTACACCAGTCAAAAAGGAAGTTAAGTCTGTTCTATGACAATTTTCCTGCAGTAGAAACATAGCTGTGTGACACATGTCCCGTATCAACCAGAATTTTGATGCCGCCTTTATCTGAAAGCATGCATCTAATGAATAAAATCCGTTTCCTGTCTCAAGCGAGCAGTGAGAGTGGAGTTCAGATGAGCCACGCCCTGTTGGAGGAGATGATGTCACAATTCATGAAAGGGCGGGGCCAACAACAAGTGTTGAGCCCTGACCTTCTGCCCATGCTCCAGAGTGTCTGCGGTCAGGTGACGCAGCTGCGGCTCGATGATGCTGAGATGGCAGCGGAGAAGAAAATGAGGAATGGTGGCTGGTGAGTGGAGTCTAGAGTGTTGTCATGTTGATCACCACTGTAGCTTCATGGTTGTGAAGTTTAACAGTAAAACTTCAGTTTCTTAGCTTTTCTGTCAATATTGTAGCATTAAAAATGTTTTTATGCTTTAGTCCAGGGGTCGGCAACCTGTTCCCATCAAAGAGCCATTATTACCCATTTCCCACAGTAAAGAAAACACTGGGAGCCACAGCAGCCGCGGTGTTGTGGGCGGGGCCTACCCTCAGACATCTGAGAGCTGCTTTAACCAATCACAACAGGTGACAGCAGCCAGTACCGGTCGCTCGTGTACGTCAAAGTTATCTTTCACAATAATACACGATAATCAATAAAATGATTTATATAAAATGGATCCAGAAGTTGTAGCCCGTGTCTGCCTACAATATTTTGATATTTTTCACCCTGTTGGTGGTTTTACTGAGCAGGTGCCACTTTTGTCATACGTTTCTTTTTAAAACATGTTTAGACAGTTCAGAATACAAATCCAGGCTCTGTCACGTTTGATTGTTGTAATTAAACTTTGTAGGTGGGAAAGGTCAGAAAAGGATCCGATCAATTTGTTTTTACCTCATTTACAGTGATGGATATAATGGCGCAGTGCGCCTGGCTCTGGTGTTAATCCAGTTAAATTATATCTCTTTGCAACAATTTTCACAAGAAAACAAAACAGTTAAAAGCAGGGCTTGTGTTGACCGGACAGTTCCCGTATTTGACCGTTTGTTTTGACGGAGAAAGAATAGAAAGAATTACCCCGACGCATGCAGACGAACTGACACTTTATTCTACGCACATCGTAGATGTTGCTAAATCACTCAAGAAACTATTCCCATCTGAACATCTGAGCTGGACACTGCTCAGCGCAGCTCACTGTCAGCGCGTACGTACGGTGCACAGCGAGCTGAAGATGTGGAGAGGGGCTTAGAGCGCGTCGCCGAACCAGAGCGCATGCGGGAAGATTCCTCCCACTGAAGTGAGTGTTTTCCAAACCCTGTCTCTCAGAGAGACTTGTCACTTAGAAAATGTTCCCTGATTATGAAACTTTGGCTGAATAGTGCTTGTTCCTGTCTCCAATGTGGCGACACATCCAGGAGCCGTCTGAGGAGAATCCCAGAATCTCACATCCTCTTCAGCTCAGAAGCGCCTATGATTACGCACAAGTGTGACGCGTCAACCCGGTCTCACAGTAGACCGGGTTGGAACTGTCCAGGTTTACGCAGACAATCTTTACATTTAGAATTAGCTTACAGACTTAAAATTAATGCAGTAAAATATAAAGCATTTTATTTAAATATCCATTCATTATTTTACAAGCACAGAGAGCCGCATCAGATGGATGGAAGAGCCGCATGCGGCTCCAGAGCCGCGGGTTGCCGACCCCTGCTTTAGTCTATCAGCCCCAGTCTAATGGCTACAGATCCAGCCCAAACCATCATCCCTCCTTCACTGTACTGACAGATGATATGAGCCATTTGCTCTGACATGCTTTTAGGTTACATAAACAGCAATAACAGTTATCATGTAAAATACTTTTCAAATAAGGACTTTTAAAAACAATCAAAAGCGTTAGAACAAGAGTCTTTAGTTGTGTTGAAAGCTTCTACTGAGCAAACACTCAGCAGTTTCCTGGACAGTTTGGCAAATACACTCATAGACCTGCTATGGCTAAAATAAAGAAAAGTCTAGATAACCAGTTTAGCTTTTAGGTTTAAATCAATTGTCCCAGTTATGACTCTGATTATTTGTGAAATTTTATCAATCAATCAATCAATCAATCAATCAATCAATCAATCAATCAAGGCTTTATTTATTTATTTTACTTTTTAGCTAAAACAAGCTGTTACTGAACAACTTTTAGATTCTTTAAGATTTGCCTTCAATTGAATCTTTTGTCTCCCAATAAAATCAGTTTGAGCCAAATTACATTTATAGCTCCTTGTCTGTCTGGCAGTATTTCTCCACCTTGGATTTCCCTGTAGTGTCATATTATGCCCTTCAGAGTAAAACGAAAAAAGTGTGCTTTAGTTTAGCATTCTTTCAAGTTCATGTGAGTGAAGAAAAATCTCCAACAAGCTAGTTTTACAGATGTGCACCAGGGGGGTCTAAGCGTGGTCTGTGGGCCATTTATGGGTCTCTAGGCAGGTTTTTCTATTACAACAGGGTTTCACTTTCAATACAACATTGAATCTTAAAGTATCGTTGAGTAGGTAAAATAATTTCTTGTAAAACATTTTTATTAACAAAAAATTCAATTTTGTGGCCCTCGTCTCATTGGCAATACTCACCCACACATGTGTAGCAGAGGCAAATTTGATGATTTTATTTGTTATAACCAGGAAGATGTAATATTCTGTATAAATATAATATATTAACATGCTAAGTTCTTTATTGTAATTAATCAGAAGATTCTAGGATTTAATTCAGAAGATCTAGGTTCTTTGCTTTTTCAGTGATCAACCACACTTCGTGTTATTTCAAGAAGGAGTCAGGTTTATAAAAGTAAGAGTTTATTTTACAAATAATTTAAAACATGACTAATTAATGAAGCATTTACTGTGAGTGGATGTAACTAAACGTGAGGAGGGCACCTATGTGTGAATGCGATGTCAGTCAGAGCTTCCTTGTCAAAGTAAGCTGAGTTCTGGTGAAAAGAATTTGGTTTGCTCTAAGTTATAAAGTTGTTATCATCAGAAGAACATTCAGACACAATCTGTCATGTCTACTTCACCCGTTTTTGAGAGACTCTCTTGGTGGATCCGAAAGTCGCAGAGGTCGGCTGATCTCTGCCACCGGAGGGCTGTAGAACCCCGTGGTACCGACTCTTCAGTCCAGAGATGTCTCGGGTCACAACAGCTGGATGGAACCGTGCGTCTGGCGGACTCTTAAGGAGTCTAACAATATCAGCTTTGTTTCTGCAGGAACTGTTTGCTCATCAGCTTTGCAGGTGCAAAAACGTTTTGACGACATGTCAAAATCTTTGATGGTTAAAGAGGTTTTGCTACAGATGGCCGATCTGAGCGATTCTCTAGAACTGTCGAATCTCTCAGGATGATCTAGTTTTAACGTTTAGCTGTTATGACTTGCACAGCCAATCAGAGGCTGACAAGTTTGGAGATGTTTTACCAAGATAACTCATAAACACACCTTCTTTGATATCGGATGTCCTGACTGGTAAAAAGGGCAAGTTATGTGTTGTAGTTTACTTAACCGTACTTGTTATTTTGTGAGTGCAGGTGTGAGGACCTTGTCGTCTAAACATGTTGAACACATGGCAGCTTCTAGTAGACAAACATAACATAACATCCATTCAGTGTGCAAAGATTAATGAAGCATTTCATTATACTATAATTATTATAAGTAGTAATAAGCAAATGTTTATTTAATGATTATTTAGATTATAAGTCATGGAAGAAGTTCATATTGATTAGTAAATCATTCTTGAATTTAGCAACTGATTCGAGCTGGAGTTGTTTCTTCTGTGGAGGCAGACAGATGGGACCTTGGGAAAGAAAGTTATTGTTTATCTTTCAGACTTGCAGAGTCTGTGAGTCCCAGCTGGTATGAAGGCAGGCTCATTTAAAGGGAACACATGCAGTGTTGTGTCTCCTTTCTGACCAGATGTTGAATAGACGGTGAAAGGTCAGGCTGTACCTAAACTGACCATTGCTGGACTTTACACTTGTTACAAAGTCTAACATGGCCATAGAACAGAGGCTCTTTTCTTTATTAGAACAAAAGACTTTTGTTTCTCTGGGGTCACATTTTTGACTGATGCTGGAAGTCAGCAGATTCCCAAACACAGCTTCATCTCAGTGCTGGTTAGGCTGAAATGATGGTTTACTAAAAAGCATGACAAAGTGTTTGTTAAATCTCAGTTTGACCTGACTGAAGGGTCTAAATGTGTTGGAAGCTCAAAGCAACACAACCGTTCATCAGCAATGTTGAAGTCATTATTCAAATGTCGCCTAACAGTCCCAGACCTCCAGCTACGGTAAGTGGACTTCCAGCTCGCATTAGCTCGACTCCACAGATGACGGTGTGCTTATTTGTGTGATGCAGCATCACACACTGCTGCTGAATAAATGAGGCTCTTTGTCAGAGCTGAGCTGCACATGTGGGCTGAGAAAAGGGGTCAGCTGAGTCTGAGTCCATACTGGAGAGGACTGCAGCCCAACGGTACGTCTTCCTCACCGCTCAGCAGAACATTCCACCAAAACTGTTCAACTGTCTGTTTGTTTGAACTCATTTTGACTGTTTATTGTGTGATTTTCCTTTCTTTTGATTATCAGAGCTTGAAGCTACTGTTGTGTTCCCTGTGAATTGTTGTAGACAGGACGTGGCTCTTTGAGGGACACTTTGACTTTTGTCAGAGCCTGTTTAAGCTTTATATTCCCTACATGGGAATAACACGGTCATCTGTCAGCTGTGGGTAACAAATAAGACATTTTGGTGTCAGTGCCGTCAGGTGCTAAATGCCCAGAAGGCATCAAAGGTTGTGGACTTTAGGAAGGTCATGTATTTCCTGAAGCAGCTGAAAAAAATCAACCTACCAGTACAGTCGATGAGGCAGTTCTACACCGCAATGTTCGAGTCCATCTTCCCCACTTCAATCACTGCGTGGTATGCTGGAGCCACCATCAGGGATATGAGGAGACTGCAGCGTGTCGTGTGCTCTGCTGAGAAGGTCATTTGCTGCAAACTACCCTCCATACAGGACCCTCCAGGACATTGAGGCGTGCAGGTTGGATCACAGCTGACCCGGCTCGCCCTGGACACAGTCTCTTTGACTCACACCCATCCAGTAGAAGGCTCTGATCCATTTGGACCAAGAAAGCAGCTTAATAGTTCTACATTAAATACAACATTAACTTATTTACATGAACATGGAATCATCAAATAGTTATTCTCTAATTTCCCTCTGGGATTAATAAAGTATCTTTGATTTGATTGATTTGATCTCTCGACAAGCTGTCAAAACCACCAAAGCTTTCAACAAGCCAAAAGCTGCCTGCAACGACACAGAAACTTGCTCCTTCAGCTATTCAGAAACACCTGTTCTAGACGCAAACGATTTCATCTATCTGTTGTGACTCGGGAGACATCCTGCGACTGACTTGGTCGCATCAAGGTTTTCCTACGAGCCACGTGCATTGGGGTCAACGACCCCTTGACATCTCGGATCCAAACGGGGTCCCCAGGAATGGATCCGTAGGCATGACAAGATTGCGTCTGATGCCGTTTTATAAACCATCATTTATAGTTTAATGCAGACCAAATTCTTTTCACACCCAGAACTCAGTTTCTTCTAGATACAAGGTTCTGATAAACACGCACCATTCAATCATCACACATCACATTCCATCCACTTATATTCATCCATCACATTCGTCTTATTTATAACTTGTCTCGTTTGTAACAAGTTTATAAAAAGTAAGAAATTTATTTTCGAAACAAATTAAAAACAAGACAAGTTATAAATAAGTCGAAAGTGATGGATGAGTGTAGATAATGATTCACTTGTTAAACCAAACATTACTGATCATAACATCAAAATGTTTCATTGTAATAATAAAATTCATTTCAACTTCATTTAATTAGGCAGAGATTATTCAAACGGTAATAGTATTATTTGTATAAAATTTGTTCATTCAACCATATGTTTATTTAATGATTATTTAACTTATGAGTTGTAGAAGTTCATCTCTCATGAGAGTGTGCAATCCTGCAGTCTTATCAAAAGAAAGCTTTGTTTGGGAACATAGGCTGATATCTTGTTCCCCTGAAATGTCAACAAGGACTACAGAATCTTCTGGCTTGTTAGAAGATAGAATATAAAATCCACTTTAGAGAATGGAATTATGTCTGCGGATGACCGGTGGCATGTAGGTAAATATGTAGGTGATAAATTACCTTTTGATGTTTAAGATGTTCAACTGCTTAGAATGAAAATATGAAGACCTGATTTGTGGATCAGAACCTCTGCACAGAGCTCTAAGTATTTAAATAGGTGGAGATCTGAATAGGTTGTTTCTTGTTTTCTACAGTGAGTTGGACTCAGCCATGGAGCGCCATCTGGAGGAGATGGAGAGGAGGCTCAAGGAGCACATGGACCGTCGGCTGGATGCTCTGGAGCAGAAACTGGAGAAGGCCCTGCTGAGTGCTTTACCGATGGTCTCCTTCAACACCGAAGCTGTGAGCAGATCTGCAGCAGGATCAGCAGCTATCGGACCTTCAGAACCAATCAGCTTAATGCCGTCCACACACTGATCTCAAAGCAGCTAACAGACTGAGTGTGAAACCTGGAGGCCTTACTGCTCATCCTGAACCAAATCTCAGCGTCAGAGTGGACACGGAGGTTAATAAAATCATGTTAACTTAAAAGATTTTAACAAACTTAATCTGAAGTGTCAACATAGCTGTTGAAAGGTCAAAGTCCTGTTCTGTTGTTCAGCCTGAAGCCTCTGTAATGGCTTGTGTTCAACTGTCAAAGGGAATTTAATACAGTTGTGATAAAAGGGACAGGAGGACCATGAATGCACCATGGGCTTTTCTGCAGCAAGCTCAAGTTGAGGTTTCTTGTCCGATTACTCAGGTTTTAGTACAGTTTGGGTTAAGTTACAACACCAGCAACATACACGGGTTTCTAGTCTAAATACCCACACTCCCGTAATTCTGTTCAGAGCTTCACAGCTGATTTTTGAACTGTAACTTACTCAATCACATCTGGCACCATTCAAATACATAAGGTCATGCTGAGAGAAGAAAACTCATAAACTCTAACCCTCTGTGAGGGGTTGTGCCATGATCTGCCTGTATGGCAAGCCAAATGAGCATTTATTCTGATATCATGATATCAGCCAGAATTGTCATGAACATGTAAGCCATTTCTGTCCACTAGTTAACTAGTTAGCCATGTTTGTGTCAACTAGTTAAAAAGTGACAGCCTAAATGTCAACTAGTTAACTAGTAAGGCCTAAATTCTCTCTAGTTAACTAGTTAAAATGTTTCATATCTTACTAGTTAACTAGTATTGCTCAGTGTGTTCACTAGTTAACTAGTGGACAGATCAATGTCCACTAGTTAACTAGTTAAAACACATTTAGTTTTTACTAGTCAACTAGTAAGGTACAAAAACTCGTACTAGCTGACTACTGAATGTAAAAATCCCACTTGTTAACTTTGCCCAATTTGGCCAGCCGCTTGAGCATTAATTCTGATATCTTGTCAACAGGTCAACTAGTTAACTAGTGAGGGTCAAACTGTACACGCTAGTTAACTAGTGAACACATTTTGACCTTCACTAGTTAACTAGTTGACACAAAAATGGCTCATTAGTTAACTAGTAAAGGCCAAAATGCATACCAGTCAGCTAGTTGAAGGTATTTGTGTCTCACTAGTCAACTAGTCAGGGTCAAAATGAGCCCACCAGTTAACTAGTGGGAGACGGAAATGTTCACTAGTTAACTAGTGAACACATTTTGGCTTCACTAGTTAACTAGGTGACACAAAATGGCTCACTAGTTAACTAGTAAAGGCCAAAATGCATACCAGTCAGCTAGTTGAAGGTTTTTGTGTCTCACTAGTTAACTAGTGATGGCCAAAATGTGCACACCAGTTAACTAGTGACAGAAGAAATGCCCACTAGTTGACTAGTGAACACATTTTGGCTTCCTAGTTAACTAGGTGACACAAAAATGGCTCACTAGTTAACTAGTAAGGGCTAAAATGCATACCAGTCAGCTAGTTGAAGGTTTTTGTGTCTCACTAGTTAACTAGTGACAGTTCAAAGTGTCCACATGTTCACTAGTGAAGGCAAAACTCCTAACTAGTTAAGTAGTTGGAGTAGGGCAGTGCCACTAGTTAACTAGTGAACCATTAATGACTCACTAGCTAGCTAGTTGATTGTAGCAGGCTCACTAGTTACCTAGTTGATGCATCCATTGTCCAAACTAGTTAACTAGTGAGGACATAAATGTATACTAGTAAACTAGTTCAAGCCTACATTCACACTAGCTAGCTAGTTGCACAGAATTCTAATTAGGAGGCAGAGAATTTCTCAAATTGAGGCTTTCTATTGGCTCACTATGTTAAAATAAAATATGACAACCAATCACAGTGCGGAATTTTGCAAAATCCCACCCCAAACATTTGCATGCGGCACACAAGTTAACATGCTGGCCAGAGGAACCTCAGCTAGTAAACTAGTAGTGGCTTCAGTGTGACACTTACATGTAAACTTGTGAAGGCGGAACTGCTCACTAGTTAACTAGAGAGGGTACAAATGTCCACTAGTTAACTAGTGAGGTGCAAAATAAGTGTCACTAGTTCACTAGTGGGCCCCAAAACGCCCACAAGTTAACTAGTAGGGTGTGGATATGCTCACTAGTTAACTAGTGAGGTGCAGATTTGCTCACTAGTTAACTAGTGCACCCTTAAGCGCCCACTAGTTAACTAGTAAGGTGCAAAAAAGCATCACTAGTTAACTAGTAAGGTGCAGATATGCTCACTAGTTAACTAGTGGGCCCCAAAACGCCAACTAGTTAACTAGTAGGGTGCGGATTTGCTCACTAGTTAACTAGTGAGGCGCAGATATGCTCACTAGTTAACTAGTGACGTGCGGATTTGCTTACTAGTTAACTAGTGAGGCGCAGATATGCTCACTAGTTAACTAGTGAGGTGCGGATTTGCTCACTAGTTAACTAGTGAGGTGCGGATTTGCTCACTAGTTAACTAGTGAGGTGCAGATTTGCTCACTAGTTAACTAGTGAGGTGCGGATTTGCTCACTAGTTAACTAGTGAGGTGCGGATTTGCTCACTAGTTAACTAGTGAGGTGCAGATATGCTCACTAGTTAACTAGTGAGCATATCTGCACCTCACTAGTACCTCACTAGTTAACTAGTGAGCATATCTGCACCTCACTAGTTAACTAGTGAGGTGCAGATATGCTCACTAGTTAACTAGTTGCATCTAAAAACACATACAAGCTGACCATTTTTGTCCACTAGTTAACTAGTGGAACAATTGAAATTTCACCAGTTTACATGTGTGGCAGTGCAGCAGCTCACTAGTTAACTAGTGCCTGAAACACAAATTATGCATATTCTAATGAGAAGGCGGGCAGAAGACTCCTGTTGGGTATAAGAATCCCACCCAGTCTAAAACGTATGTGCTGTGGCCTCACAATCACATACTGATGGGTGTCCCTGAGCGCCAAGGCTTGCACTCATTAGTCATGGTTTGACACCTACTGGTTGGTCGTTGCGGCTGGTTCGAATCCCGCAGATGGCATTCCGCAATTGCTGTAACATTATTTATTTTCTCTTTGTGTTGTAATGTTCAAAGTTTTATTGTTTTACTGCTTTTATTCCCCCCTCCCAAATCAAGTAAAGCACCTCGTTTGGTGTCGTGTAAGGGAGATCAGTTGGCGAGTTCAAGTCCCATTGAGGAGAATTGGAATTTAGTGTGCCAGTAATTTTATTGTAGTTCATTTTTGTTTGGTATTGAAAGTTTGGTATTGAAAAAGGCTATATTAAAAATAATTATTGATATATATATATATATATATATATATATATATATATATATATATATATATATATATATATATATATATATATATATATATATATCTCCATCCATCCATCCATCCATCTTCCCAAGAAATAGATCAAATGACACTGAGGGAAAAAACTGTGGTTATTTTGGAGAGGGTGCTGGCTGCAAAACCACAAAGGCGGAGCTGCACCCTGCCCATTCACGCAAACTCAGCCTAGCCCACTGACTTCCGTTTTTGTTTTCAACTTTATCGCAAACTGACCTGACCCACATGAATTACGGCTGTTACTAGTTTACAGTCGTTAATGCTATGTTCTATACTCCAATTAAACAAGATAAATATAACTTGCTACATGACAAAGACTGAATATATCTCGAAATGAAAAGGTTTCTTTTAGCGAATATCTGCCTACAGCTGGTCTAATAAAAGTGGTGTACAACAGCACTTCAGTCTATTGAATGGCCTCTGGTAGTCTAGTGGTAAAATCGTCTGAGTTGGTTTTTGCTTTCCCCTCAGCTGATGCTGGTTCGATTCTCGGTGGGGTCATCAGCAGTCTATTTAGCCACATTCAATTTGTTTATATTTTAGTTGTAATGTTTCTTTTCAGCAAAATATTTATGTCGCTAAAAGTTCTTTGAATTTGGTCGTTCCTAAACAGCATTTTAGTTGAAACTCTGCTCACAAATGGACTCACACTGGCTAAATAAACGAATAAATAAATAAATAAACACATTATATGTTAAACGGTATACCAGTAAATTGTTGTAAACATAGTACTGGCAAGTGTAGCTAGAAATGAAGAAAAGAGGTTGTAAACTACCTAAAACTTACACTACTGGGAGGCGAAACAGCATGTCAACCTGACTCCATAACCACTACACCACCGCATCTGTTATAAATCAAGTGGCGTTACATGTAATTGTGCTGCCCAGTGTGTCTCTGAGATGGGATGTATGGTTTATTGGCGGTGTCTCAGTAGAAGTCATTTCAGAAATAATTTGTCAGAAAATTCACAGAATATCCAGATTTGAGAACCAAGACCAGACCCGCTTCGGGGGAGGAGACCAAATTGAAGCTGAGATGGGAGGAAAATGCATGAATGAGGCTAAAAATGGCTTTGGCATGTTTCTTATGAGGAAATGACAATATAACATGATTAAAAGTTCCAAAAGTTAGATTTTTAATTATATGGAACCTTTACAAAAACTGTTCAATTAACTTCTCAACTCCGTCCTCAATCTCGCATTTTTTAGCTACAACACCCTCTTTGGTTCCAGAATGCTATCAAGTCTGACAACTGGAAGGAATTAGACTGACTCTAATGGAATGGGCGGGGCTGATTCTGGAATGGGCGGGGCTGACTCTGGTGCAGCTCCACCTTCTGGTGCAGCTCCGCCTTTGTGGTTCTGCAGCAAGCACCACTTGTTATTTTGAGCTAGTACCAGAAGACAGTGTAACCTTTTTTAGTTCTCTCCAGTCAAAACAAAACTTTAGACTTTTTTCTTTTTTAAATTTAACAGGGAACAGCAATCAATTGAACAGGGAACTGCAACCAGTAGTCACACAATAAAATAAAATCACACAAACAAAATAAAGTTACTCTCCTTTTTTCTTGGTGTCTGAAAAGGGCAGGGAAAACCATCAGACTCCAGTCACCCATCGAATGGACTCTTCACCCTCCTGCCCTTGGAAGCGCTACAGGAGCCTATGGACTAAGACTACCAGGTCCCGAAACAGTTTCTTCCCCACAGCTGTCAGACTCCTAAACTCTGCCTGCTGACATAACACCCCAAACCAGCAGCACCCTACATAAACTCTGTAGAAACAAGAAAGCCCTGCAAATCGATGCAGAGCGTCGCGGGATATGCCTGACTGGTCATATATATTACCTCTCATGACACTGACCTCTGACCCTATGAACTTGTGTATGTGATGAGTTTATTTACCTTTGATAGGGAGTTATGACCTCTGATTTTGTCAAAATCCTTCAACCCGTTCAGGAGATATTGCACACAAAAGCCAAATTTTCATATATACGGCCTCACACAACCTTGACCTTTGACCCTATGAGGTTTTGTACCTCATGAGTTTATTTACCTTAGATAGGGAGTTCTCACCTGCGATTTGGTCAAAGTATTTCAACCTGTTCAGAAGATATTGCACACAAAAACCAATTTTTCATATATACGGCCTCACACGACCTTTACCTTTGACCCTATGAGGTTGTGACCTGATCAGTTTATCTACCTTTGATAGGGAGCTATCACCTCTGATTTGGTCAAAA